CTGCAGGAAACCCTTATATTTCAGCAATTTTCAGTAGATTTCCCCAAGCCACTCCAGCGAGGAACAATTGGTGACCAAACAGGTGATTGAGGAGCATCACAAAGAGTCACCTGGTTGATCTGGTTGAGTTCATGTGAAAAAATCCACAACCCCCACATTCTTTTCGCCAAGAAAAACAAGGATTTGGGACCTAGGGATTTTAGATGATTTAATATTTGGGACAAGTAGTTTGAGATCTGGGAACCACGCCAATTCAATGTTGTCCCAAAGTTTGGACGCTTACAGAAAGCGAAGCCATTTTGATGGTCAGGGAACTGAAGACTTGTTCAGTGGCAGATTAGGATTACTCCAGGATCCGGAGCGGTCAAGTAGAGGTTGGGTGGCAAGTTTGGTTTTATATTGGGGTTTGTCTGTAAGTGGGGTATACCACCAGATCGCCATCAAACAAGAGGAAACCTGATAAACCTGATGATTCACCATGCAATTTCGGAGGTACCCAATTTTCAGAGAAACCCCTGTAGTCCAAAGGATGTATCTTCTATTGGATTTCGATATGCAATGTATCTGACACCTTTTGATATTTTGTAGTATTAATTCGATTTAAAAAGCATTCGCTTGACGTACGAAGTTGTGCAATATTGTCTTACCGGCTGTAAATGCACCAATGTATTTGTCAAATTTGTACACGCAAGAAGAGAGAGGGTTAATTGACAAATCCTGCGGCAGCCATCGAGGTTGAACAAGTGTCTCGGCGAGGTGCAGTATGGGTGGAACGCACTGAAGAGACGAGATTTTCCAGGATTTTCCTGGAAAATATGGATTTTGAGGATAGTCTGTACCGGGCATTCATGATCCAAAAATTAGGACCGCCAGTGAGGGGTCCCAAGTGCAGTTTTGTTGGTACCACAGTTTTCAAGATTTGCTCCTTTGAATATTTTGAATCCTTTGTTGTCAGATCCCTGCTTTCGACTTTCTACGATTATTCTTCATATTTCAGAATGCATTGGCTTATCTTCATAGAATGCAAGAGATGCCAACAAGTTTTGCGGCTGCTGGCAAGCTGATGAAATGGGTTTGTCTGAATTTCCATCAGGTTTTTGTATTTGTTTCCCCCATCAAAACGGCTGTTCTATGTGTATACCCAAATACAATATTGTTGTTCATATCTTCCATTGCATCCTCAGTATATCCCCTTCAAATGATGGGTTTTACATGCTTGTACATTCCAAGTCTCGTTCCCCACATATCACCCCCAATCAAACCAAGTCTTGCTGATGATCGGTTCAAATATAGATGAATAAATATACATATGTATATATATATACACTATATTCAAATGAATGTGGTAAACCGTCCATTTTCCATCCCCCAGAGAGTTTTTTGGCATTGCAGGTGGAGGAGTCGGCCAAACAGGCCAAGGAGGCTGCAAGGCAAGCCGTGCAGGTGCACCGAATGGGAATGAGAACGGGAACGCGGAGAACATGGTGGGAAATGACCAAAGATCTGATTTTGGGAACGCGAGGGGGATATACTTGTATGAGATATCATATAGAATCACATTATATAAGTATACATATAAATATATACACATGTACATATAAATATATACACATGTACAGGTATAAGATAGATAGATTGATAGATAGAAAGATAGACAGATGGATAGATGGATAGATGGATAGATGGATAGATAAATAGATAGATAGATAGATAGACAGACTGACAGACAGGATAGATAGATAGATAGATAGATAGATAGATAGATAGATAGATAGATAGATAGATAGATAGATAGATAGATAGATAGATAGATAGATAGATAGATAGATAGATCGCATCGACACGTAAGCCTAAAAATCAAGAGTCATGGAAAAGTGCTTATCCTTCGTTTGAAGGATACTATATGTATATGTGTATATATATATATATACATACACAAGAGTATGTATGCTTGTTTTTTTGGAGAGCCCCCTGCATATATATATATATATGGATATGTCATGTATATATGCACATGTATGCTCAGGGACTTTTCTCTCTTGGGATATGATACCCAAGAATAGGTGATGCCAGCACGCTAACAAAAAGGGGAATGATGCTTAAGACATGCCTGGGTGCTGGGGGTGGGAGGGGATTACCTGCCAAAAGAGGCGCATGTCGCTTTTCTGGATACTTTGCTGCGAAGTTTCACTTTTTGGGAGATGTTTTTGGAAGTTGTCTCCACTTCATGCAAATGCAGGTTGCAGAGAAGTGCAAACAAGTTGAAGAGGCTGCGGAGGGAGATAACTCTCGGACTTTTTCTGTCAATCTGAACGTAGTATACTGAGCTTTCAAGAAATGTGACGTGCACCGATGGTCAGGTAAAGGAAATGGCTGCAAGTTTTGTTCGTGCATCCATTGTGAGTGGCAATGAAACAGATTGTGCGAATTGATCCATAGATTATACGATATGATTTCTCCAATCTTCAGTCTCCAGAAAAGAGAAATGTGATCTATTGCCTATTGTTTTGTGTTTGGATTGGGGCTTGAATCTATGATTCTAGCATTTTATTTTCAATATTTTCTATCTTTACGATGCAGATTTCAAGAAGTCCTTCCAAACCACATCATCTCTCCCTACTTTTGTTCCACAACCAAGGCAGTCTCCTCAGAGTCATTTGTGGCCCTGTGTTTGAAACAACGGAGTGGATTCAAACTGCGTTTGTATGTAAAAGCATTGAAAACCATCTTGTGGGAACATCCCCTTTTGATCCCAAAGTGTCGCATGATTTCTTGAATATCACCTGCAGCAGTGTGCGAATTTCTCGGGTCCAGGACACCAAGAAGATGATTGCGTCACTTGGCATCAAAGCCTGGTTGCAGAAAGATACCGCAGACCTTTTTGACGATGAGATTTCCTTGAAGTTGGTTTTGCAAGGCAGCGTGGCTGTCGGGTTGATGGGAAGAACCTTGATGTTTTGATCCGTAGGCAATTCGGCACCAACGAGTGAGAGGTGCCGTGCGTACGGGATGAGAGGGAACCTCTCGGTCAGGCTGCCAGTGAAGGTGCTGAGCGGGCTTGAGCGCAAAATCAGTCGCTTCTGTCTGCACTTTCCATATACTGCAACTGCATAGAACTTTTCATCCACGACTTTGCACGTCATCAAACGTACTCAGTAGCGCTCTGGACTTTCACTTCTGGCATGTCTGATTGATGTTTGGTTTCACGGCGTACACAGAGAGTTCATGGACTCGAAGCTGTGCAAAGACCAACTTGGGCGTTGCACACATAGAGGTGTCCTGCAGTTGGCCAGCTGGCTGTGTCACACTGGCGCAAATCACTTGTTTCCCTCATATGTTTGCAAGCATTTGCTGCAGTTTTATTCAGTTTTTCTATTTCAAATGTTGCTGTTACCTTCAGACAATCCTTTCATGCTTATAGATACAATCTCGACTCCTGAAGCATTTTGTTTAACCAAGACCTGGCACAACCACTTGGCATTGAGCTTGCCTCAGCAGATGATGATCACTCCTGGATGCACGCAAAATACCTCTGCTGAGTCATAGCAACCTTTGTGGACCCTGATCTTTGGTGCGTTTCACCCAGCCAACGTGCTGCCCTGTTCTCACTAGCTCTGCGCAAAGGGATCAATTGACCACAGGAGGTAACACAGAATCAGTAACACATGTAATTAGATAGTACGTATATATATATTTATATAGATAATACTATGATATCTATTTCGTATGTATATATATATATATACAGTCGGCGACAAATGTGGATCACAATATATATATAATATGTATATATGTACCGTATATATATATATACACATAAAGCTGGCACAAGCAATGATTGACTTGGGTATATGGTTGAAATTGTTGCACAAATTGAAAACTCGTGCAGACCTTTGGACGCTCTCCTGCGAAATATGCCTGTCAATATATGAACATTGTTTGAACGATCCTGTCAGCCCGTGACCAGGGCGAGATCTGGTTGCTACCTTCAGCACCGGGAATTATATAACATAGATAATGTGAGAAACAAACATACCTACCACTTGGGGATGGTTTGTGCACCGATAAAAATGATGATTTGAGGGATGGTTTATGAGATTGAGTTTACCACATTAATACCAATCTTTGGAGCTTTATGATTTTCACCCAAGTGCTTCATGAGTTTCAACTCATCTTCGTTCCAAGGCCTGGGCCTCAATAGTTTTTAGCGACCTGTGACTCCTGTGGTGGCTCTTGTACACAGCTGAATCACTCGTGCAGGTTAAAAAGCCGTGGGCTAGTTTGATCACTGTCGTAATGGGGCCGCCGACCCTGGACGAATCACCCCCAGTTTCATTTGGGTTGACAGTGCTGCAATCAAGGGTTTGAATTCTTGAACGTAAATTAAGTAGAATAGGTTTCTAGCAGATTCTTTCTTCTTCATTCTATCTCGATTACATGTCAAAACCACTCAGAAAAAGAATTTACGTCAGATGGAACAATCAAGTGTTGGTGGTTTTGCTAACATATTCCATCCCCCAAAGTGGTGTGATAGGCCACCCACAAACAGGTGAAAGGCGAAGCTGAAAGGCGGCTTGAAGAACGTCCCTTGGAAGAAATGTCTTTTTGGGATTGGATACTGAGTTGATTCCAGGAGTTGAATCTGTTGTCCAAAAAATCTGAGATCTCAGTGTCACTGAGACAGTTTGTTTCTTTATTTTTTTTGCACGGGTTCAGTCACTTTCAAGATGTATATATATATATTATGTCATGGTCATTTTGTGGATCTTCATGGAAACCAGTGGCGAGGGCACCGGTGCCTTTGTAGATTTTGGAATGCTTTCATGTTTGAATTCCGGCGTGCGCAAAGCAGATCATGCACTTCCATGTTTTTGCGGCTTTCTGTTTTGCCTGCTGACTGATCCACATGCGGCGTGTTTGTCGCACCTTTTTCTTTTTCGTCAAATCAGCGCCGGCTTCTTACTGTCATAAACTTTTTGATTGCCCTGTCTCGCTTTGAGGCTTGTCTGAATTGGACCACATCAAGGTTGGTACTCGAAAGGCACGGTGGCAGCTGTGTGGAAGATGGTTGGTGCAGATTGCAACAGGTTTTGTTCTGTTTTTTTTGGATGCAACAAATAACATACAAATAACTGTGTGTAGCAAGGTGAAGTAGCCCCATAGCCTTTTGCAGGCCATTGAGACAGCAGTGGCCAAGTGGAAAAATGGCAGTGCCAAGGGGCCTCTCGGCGTGGAAATGGGACGTTCTGCCACTAGACACACAGGTCAGTGTGTGATCCAAATTGCGTGTTGCAGTTTCAGCTTCCGGTTCTGAAGGCTTTGTTATTCTACATCAAGCTTGAGATGTTGATCTAAGTCTGAATAATTGACTGCTGAATTGTATTGTATGGATGGGTTGAAACCACCAACCAGATCCTTTTTGGCAGAGTGCGACCTGATACCATTTTGTTAGGATCGTAGACGTCGTAGACCTTTGTGCTCGCTGATTTAGATTTCCACTTTGGACATCAAATGTGGAAAAGCGCTTGGACCTGCATCAAAAAGGCATTGCCAGAATGTGATCGTCATGATGTCAGCAAAGCCTATGTCGAACTCTTGCTAGTAAGGATGGAAGCGATGTGCTTCAGGGTGCTTTTCTCAGATCACAGCTACAACGGGAGACTGCTGGAAGCTGACATGCACATGAAAACAAGCTGATATATGGTACATTGGTCGCTTGTGACCCTATTCACTGTTTCTACGTTTTGAACCATAAAAAATAGGGTCGCAAATGACCAAGTGTGCTTGGATATATACATGTCAACACCACTGTATATACGGCATGATTTCAGGATTTTGATCATTAGTAATGTGAATTTAGGTTTACCACATGAGCGAAGCACTTCGGCCCAGGCTATGAAGGAGAATTGCGTTCAATGTCGTGCGAAGAAGGCGGACTCGCGGGCCATGACTTTCCATGGAGGTGAAATCCATTGAAATCGTCAAATCCCCAAAGGATGAAGATGGATGAAGGTTGCTGGTCGAAATCTTCCCTTTCATTCTTTTGGACAGCAAAATGGTTTCTGGTGTTGCACATTTGACACGCGGAAAGGTTCTTGAAGCTACCCTTTGAATGTTTGTCAGTTTTTCTTGAACACATAAATTTGATGGGAACAATGGAGTGAGTTTTCGAACGAGTTGGTGACATGCTGAGCTCCTAAAGAAACACACGCACACACACACACACCTTGCTGGTTCGTGAAACATCTTGGAACTAGGTTTCCGAGTTAGCTCCTCCATGCCTTTCACTGAATGGCCAGGCAAAACGAAATTCCGTGGAGATGTGTGTCAAGAAATTTCTGCTGGGCCAAGCACGCGGAGCATCTCGGACTTGAACTATGGTTTCAGAGGATTTGTTGAGGGTCAGCTAACGCCTTGAAGATTCAGGCTGGAATATATTGGGGATAAAGGCCGCGCTTGCAAACCATGAATCATTTTTTCCCAGTTTGGAGTTTCAAACTTGACTGTGAGATATTTGCTGAATGCTTCTCCCAGTGGGACGTTTGGCATCCTAGGTCCTGTCTACTTGCTGGCTCAGTTGGAAGAAGGTGGGAGGGGTGTGCTTTCCGGGCCCTGGCCAAAGCTATCACAAAGAAAAGATCTCTCTTTGTATTTGTATATATACACAGAGTATATGATATATATATATATATATATATAAATCTATATATAATATTTTATAGTACAATATATGTATATATATATAATATACATTTGTCTATTATTATCCATTTGTTTCAGAACTCATGGCTACGGCGATGTGCGGCACGTCAGCATATAAATGGAACTCAACTGATGAACTCTGGGACCAGGATGCCCTGGAGTCACAGCGCCTGGCTGCTGAGCACAAGCGCTTCGAGGAGGGGGGCATAGCTGGGGAGGAAGTTTGCAGTTTCGTTTCTTCCCCACATAGTCAGGGTTAAATCACGAAAGCTAGCTTCGGCTAGCTGAAGTCCCTTGTGTGGACATCGTTGCCAGATCCTTGCCGTCAGCATCATCAGCATCAGCAGCATCATCGGCATCGTCGCCGTCAGCATCATCAGCATCATCAGACTCACTCTCCACTTTGTATCTCTCAATTCCTCACACACACACAATCACACCTCTTTCATCACACCTTCCTCCTCCCTTTACCCCCCCAGCTTGCTTTCGTCCCTTACCTCTTGGCCTCAAGTCTACCTCTGTTTGTGAAAAATCTTGGGAAGGATTTTACATTGCCAACCTTTTGGGGGTTGCGCACTAAAAACAGATCTACACAGTCAACTTTTGGGAGCCACGAGGTATCATGTTAGGCAAGTGTTGGTATTTCTAGGACTGGGGAAAGGAAGGAGAAGTCCTCTGGCAGTTACGAGTTTCGGTAGGAAGGGTTCTAAATGGATGCGGTGGTCGGAAGAGGATGCGGTAGTACGCCCGCTGGTAGGAAGAGCTTGTTTGGTTCCATATTGACACCAAAAATTCCATGGTTTAATGTCTGCACAATGAGGCTTTGTTTGAAAACTGTGTCCCCCAAAATGGCCCTAAATCCACTGCTTAGTCACGATGTTCCTGTTCCCTATCATTTCATACTGAAATGCATTTTTTTCTTGGGTTAGTCCATTTTTTTCAGACACATCCATAACACAAGATAACCAATATTCGAACTTCATTGGCGCCCCAATGGGTTTTGTCCTGCTTGGCTATGCCAGGACTTCCTCGACGGAGAGCGTCAGGGAGCTCTGAGTAGACCAGCTAGATCCAATGACTTGACTTGACATTTGATATGAAACATGTATACATGTATGTATATGTATACATGTATGTATATGTATACATGTATGTATATGTGTATGTATATGTATATGTGTATGTATATGTATATGTGTATGTATATGTATATGTGTATGTATATGTATATGTGTATGTATATGTATATGTGTATGTATATGTATATGCACATATGTACACACATATACATATACACGTATATGTCTATGTATATGTACATGTACATGTACATGTACATGTACATGTATATGTATATGTATATGTACATGTACATGTACATGTACATGTATATGTATATGTATATGTATATGTATATGTATATGTATATGTATATGTATATGTATATGTATATGTATATGTATATGTATATGTATATGTATGTTTTGTGGCCCAAGGAGGGCACACCTTGAGGCCACTGGAGGGTACTGTGACATTTAAACATATTGTGAATTAACAACATCATGTGTATGTATATAATATACATATGTATGCTGTACGCATATGCATCTATATTTCATTTACAATGTTATACATATATACATCTATTGCCCCATGCCTATGATTCATTTTCCCTCATTTTGCATCATGGGGACCTCTCCTGAGCAGCTCCAAGGTGCGAAGATGAGGCTTGAGTACCAGGCCCGGGCGGTTGAACATGTGTGGTACCTGAAAATGGTTAGTGTACCCCAAGTTTGGACTGTTTCAATAGGGACATTGTTATTTTCAACATTTTTTTCATCCAACCATTTTTGGGGTACCCTATGTTGAAACAACACACACCACCTCTGAAGCTGCAGTTTTTTGCTCGGCTCCGCATGCTGCATTTTGAAACAGCATCTGAAATGTCTGCACAGGACAATCCATCTCTTTACCGCAAACAGGAGGATGACATTTGATGAAATCATCAGTTTTCTTCAGAGGATCTTTTTCACTCTGCCTTTGTTGTGGGAACACTGGACCCAAAATGAAGAGTTGGTTGCATTGAACTGTCTAAGCTTTGAGCCGTGACTGCTTGGCTTTGGCGCCATGCCACTCTTTATCACTGACTGGAAAGCGTGGTCCACGAAAGATGTGGTGGCAGGTGCAGAAAGAAATGGTGGTTTTGGTTCGATGTGAGCAAAGAAATAAGTCCTCTACCCAATTCATTGGGGTTCTGCACGGATCAAGACACTGCGTAACAAGCAACACGACCGGATTCCCGCAGTGACCGCAATTGTACATATGGCTTTCACATTGGAAGAAAAGTAACATTGTTTCTTGAATTATATGCGTCGTATGAGATAAAAGAGCCAAACAACCATATGCTTTCACATTATATATATATATATACACACACATTGCACATCATATTGACAGCCGTACAGAGGCATGTGACAGGACTATGGTCCTCTCGTGACAGCTGCCGAAGGTATCACTGTCGCGGTGACCAGTCTGCCGCAGTACATTGCCTATGCCGAGTTAGCTCAGCTCAGTGGATTTCGAGGCAGGGTCCATGGGCCCATTGGTACCATTGGTGCCCCAGTACCCTTCCAGTCCTTTCCGCCAGGGATCGTCGCTTCTGGGCCACCTTTGATCGCCTTTGCCTTTCTGACGGGCAATCCTTGTTTGAACATTGGAGTCACTTGCGAAGAAAAGTGGGAGGCTCGAACCTTTACTGTGGGGAATAGATCAGAACATGCGGGGATATTCCTGCGATTCGGAGGATGATTTGCGATACACTTTCACATTCAAATTGAGGTTGCCTGAAAGTGAGGTTTCCCTTCGATGCTTTTATCTTCATTTGTCCCTAATCTTATTTGGTTCATCATTTGTCCATCATTTGTCACCAATCAGGACAGCCTTTTTTTATGGATCCACTTTTGGGCTAGAGCTTTCAGCCTTTGGGGCTGCCAAGGTGACTTCCATCACTGCCCTGATGGCCACAGCGGATTTGAAGGGAGCTGAGTATCGAGAAGCATTTGGCGAAGCCGCCTGGTCCCAGATTTTGGGCACCTATTCCATGTTGCTTGGCTCATGTCACTGGTTGGTTGAAGGTTCCCGGAAATTCAACAGTAAGTAGATGATCCATATCAGTTCACCCTGATACCCTGGGTTTGTTCACACCAAACTAGCTGGGAAATGAAGGTTCACCACCCCCAAGCTGATATTCATTGGTTTTGACACATCCCACTTGATGTTTGATTTTGACTTGACGTTGGCCAAATTGCTGGTTTTTAGTATCCCTTGGATATGTACAGAAAGTGGATAAGTGAACTTGGTTTGGGGCCGGAGATGTGGGTTTCAACCGTCTTTGGCAATCAGTTGGCTTTTTGGGTGAGGAACACCCTGACATCCACATCTGGAATTTGCTTGTAGGTTTTGCCACAACTGTCATAGTGAATGGCTTGAATCTCCACATTTCCAGGTCAGGATCCCTATCATGTCAGTTTTCCAGGTTTCAAGATACTGTAGCACGTGATACCAAGCAATCACGTGTTGAGGAAATGGGAGACGTCTCCAGATATATTTAGATATAGAGACTGAGAATTTTTCAGTGCCGGTCCTCAGATTCTGGGATGAAACCAGGGTATTCTACAATTTTATGGTTTGAACTAGTTCAAAACTTCAACACCACATTTTTCCAAACTCAAAGAGCCATTTTGAGGTATCCATACAATTTCTGGACACACACACACATCATTGTTCATCATATGGGCATGTCTGGAGGTGGGAAGACCCCAGTTGCCATATTCATAGGGACCATCAAATTTGGGGCTTCGGGAGTCGTGGACATGGAAAATGCCCGAAGTTCCCAGGCCATGTTTGATGAAAGCTATAGATTTCCCATAGATTTCCCATTTTTTTAATTTCCCATACTGTATATATATATATATACATATATATTTGCCAACAAAAATATCATGAAGCGTTCCATGCTTCCGGGTGACGCGCCGAGCGATCCCAGGATGATCGGCGCGGCCTCCATTGTTCTGGCGGTCTTGGGGGCTGGGCGCCTGGTGAAACACATCCCTGCGCCCGTGAAGGTGGGGCAGCCATGATATGAATTCGGGGAGATGGGTTGAGGGTGAAAGTTTTTTGTTTTTTTTTTGAGCTAATATGACGATGTGTGTAAATACTCTCGCTTCTCTCTCTATGTATATATATATATATATATGTATATGTATATATATATATAGATACAAGTTATTTGCAGACAATGAATGAGAACATTTAGGAGGAACTCATAGGACTCATATGTGTGATTTGTATTGATTTCTTCTTTTTGGGAGTTCAACATCACCAGTCTTGGCACGTAAACATTGGTCAAATCGCTCTCAAGTTTGGTCATGGATCTAATGGATATCAGCCACTGCTGGATCAGATTGCAGTTGGCACAGGGAAAATGATGCTTGAGACCGTCCTGTTCGTGTCGTGGGGCGGAGCTGCAAGCTCTTTCATGTTGTTTTCTCTATTTGTCTTAAGGTAGCATCCTGGGGGTTGTTCAATGACCTTTTTCGCATACCCTGTTCACATAGAGGACGATCCAAGTTTCGAAATCCTCGTTGCGAACGCCAGGCGGGTTGGAAACTGGGCTTTGCACTGGCAGCCTGCGCTGCGCAGACACCCAGCAGTGCCTTCCAACATGCGAAGATCCTCGGAAGATCTTGTTGAGGTCATGGGTGACCCATTGGTGACCCATTTTGAGTGGGTCCTATGAAGTTCTCTCACTTTTCAGTCACTTGAAACCGTAAGTTTCACAATTGAAACCATTTCCTGCAAGATTACGGCACTTGGGAAAGACCTGACATATCTTCAAAGACTTTTCAAAGTATTTGTTGATAAGATCTGGAAGAGATCTTAAGGAGATAGTACAAAGAACCTTGTTGAATAGCCTTCACGTAGATCGTTCAACAAAGGCAACATGATATTCCAAGAATCGTTCAGTTTTTCTTGAGGCCCTGGTGCTTGGCAAGAACTTTTAGTCGAAAGGAGCCGACCCTGTGGTGTTATCCTATGGGGTTTGAAAATTGGCTATGCCCCCTATTGCTGGCCACTTAACCATTGGACCGAGGCAACTGAAGAAGATTTGTGTCTTGCCCATTGTGAATGGCCAGCCTTTAAAGAGTGGCGCTGCCAATATGTGGCTTGGTGAAAGGCCGAGATCATTGGTTGAACATCAAAGACCCGTACCCACCGAAGTGTAGGTTCTATTGTTTTGGCAAGGCACATGATTGTTTCTAGGTTCTAAGATTATGTTCTGTTTTGAGAACTATGATATGGTTTTCACTGCCATCCGAAGGATATTTGTCATTCAAAGATGATTTTGGCTGAGAGGTCGGCCTTTCCGCCCCAAGGTATCGCTTGGTATGGACCCTGACACATCCAATGCATTGGGACGCCGAGGCAGGAGGTGGCCGACTAGCGAACATGCAGCGCAGACATGTTGGGAGCATCTCAATTTTGGTGTCATCTCGTTGTGCAGGCCATCCTCTTCTCAGCAATGACGCTGTTTATCGTGGCTTTGGTTGCAAGCTGCTAGTTGTGTGGGGGGAGGCATCAGCATTTCTGGCTTTGTTTCGCACAGGAAGTTTGCACAACGTCGACTTGCGGGGTGATGACATAATGGGATGTTCATGAGCTCCAGATGCGCAAAGCCCTTGACCTATTTCTTGACCTCAAATGAAAGTATTGCCGCAGTTGGGCCAAATAATGACATTAATAAATCACCACTAAAATGAAATTGTCTAACATCAGAATCTGACTAAGTTTGTTATTCCATAATCACGCCTTTTTCGAGCCATACACATTTGCATATGCGCGCTCCCTAGCAGAGGTAGTGGCTCCACAGCGCTACAGCAGCAGAAGGGCCATGGGCCAAAAACAAGTACCCTTCATGCTGTTGATTGGAGATCAGCCCCAATTTAAATGACATTGAGCCAGCTTGCAGATTTGGCATAGCGCCTGCGCAAGAATCCACGACCATTGGGATCAATGATGATCGATATATTTTCACATCACCTCGGCCGCTTCAACAGTGGTGAACACCCCAAAACATGCCACATTCTACATCATTCTTGAAATTTTAAAGCCCATCTCCTCCAACAAAAAACTATATACAGGATTGGGCCCGGGTCCCACCCCTGGCCGACGCCACGCTATGGCTGTGCCATTGGACGTGGTGGACTTCTACCTTCGCCGCGGGGGCTGTGAAGCACAGGATGAGGAGGTCTTGCGGATGGTGAGGCGGATGGGATGGTCAAGTGAGATGGTTCAGCACAGATATGCCCTTGTTAAACAGTAGGCGGTAGCCCAAAATGTCAATCTGAATAGGGAAGACTGGAAGATGATAAGATAAGCCATGGGGATTTTGAGGGTAGCCTAAGACAGACCAAAATGGAGTTCGAGCAGCAAGAATGCTGAGTTCAGTCTTTGAGAACATGATATAGAAAGTGGAGATGAAGAGTCAGCATGCTCAGCATGGTCAACCAACCCAGTTGTAAATGAGACTAAATAGGAATTAGGCACTTACGGAGCAGGGTTGTCAACAACTTAATGTTGGATGAGTTACAGATCAAACAGGTTTTGCTCTTGAAGTAGTGAAGCCTCAACCAGATCTGCTGTAACGACTGAGCAAAAATGCACCCCCCCTTTTGAAGAAGACCCAGACGATCAAACCAGGACGGTCATCATGAACATATGGGGATGGATGAAAGCCATGTATGTTATGTTATGTTATGTAATGTAGTGTAATGTAATGTAATGCAATGCAATGCAATGTAATGTAATGTAATGTAATGTAATGCAATGCATGAATATATATATACACATATATACTGTATATACACATACATGCACCATATTCTGGGGAATGCACGCTCATTTATCAGTCATTTTGCTGTTCACCAGCGTGCCATGGTTTTGACCCATAACCATATGAGAACTCAAACGCTGCTTCGGTATTTGTAGAACTGCTCCCTTATCGCGTGGAATCAGGCGACAAGCCGAGGGTTTTCTCAAGAGGCCAGGGGGTATTATTAGCATTGCAAGCCAGTCATTCGACGAACGTGCTCTGTTTGATTTGCAATGGTTTCATCGGGTTTGGTCAGCAACTCTCCCCATTCAATGTCGAGGGATCAGCAGGCGGGCAAAAATCCATCGACTCATCCATCATTAACGAACATGTCTGTGTTGCTAAACATTCTAAAAATTCCAATTGAATGTTGAATTTCCTAGAATTGTTGCCTTCAACATCCTTATCATTTCATAGAAATCATCGATTTCAGAAAATTGTGGATTCCCATTGCCACCATGTTGGACCCCCATTTGGCGGATCCCTTTTCTGCAGGTTGCTGGATGAGGCCTCCGAGCTCAGCAGGCATCAGATTTCACGCTTTGTGCATATGGCATCGATATGTAATATGTATATTGTAAATATATATATGTATGCATGCATGTAATGTAATGTAATGTAATGCAATGCAATGCAATGTAATGTAATGTAATGTAATGCAATGCAATGCAATGCAATGCAATGTAATGTAATGTAATGTAATGCAATGCAATGCAATGCAATGTAATGTAATGTAATGTAATGTATGTAGTACAATTAACTATATGTATAGTATATATTCATTCATTTATCTAATGTGATTTCTTGCTTTCTCTTTGGAGCTTTCAGTTTCCAAGAACCAGACACATCTTCCCGAGAACCCTCTCGTCAGGCCCTCAGAAAAGGACGAGGACCGGTTTTTTTTTGGCGATGCTGCATGGCTTGATCCATGGCTATCCAATGAAAAACCAGACCTATCTTGTGGGTCAAATGGTCAAATTGATGGGTATCCATGTGTATCTTATGGTATCCATGTGTATCCAACAGCTTGTTTTTGGAAACGCTTTCATGCTACGAGCAAGTCACGCAAGAACTCGGAGATTTGTACAACAGCAGCGTGTATTGCCACATATCGATATGCTGTGTTGCACGGCAGATGCTGATACTCCAAGACGAATTGAATTCATGGGATAACGTCAATGACCAATCGACACTACCTTCGTGCTGGCATCCAGATTGTCACGGGGTTGTTGGGTGACTTTCTTTCAACACTTTCTGCTTCAAATCATGTGAGATAGACTCCACTGCAAATGCTTCAAGGGCTCGACAACAGCATTGAAGGCAAGTGCCAGAAGTAGCAGCCGCATTTTGCTGTTCGATTCTTGTTTCGTGACTGTCAAGGTTGAATCTATTCTACATATAATATACATGATATGCTATGATATGCTGTCTAGAACTTGGGCCTAAGTCTCTTGAACCAGAAGTGTTCAGCATGACAGGGAAGTCAGGGAATACATATGTTGGCCTTGTGCTCCCCTGGAGGAACCTCCTACAGGCGGGCACAGTGGTGTCACATGGTGTCACTGTACCATCTTTACAGATCTCGGATGCCATGGATACCGGCTGGTTGTGGATGGTGCAATCCGGACCTTGCTGGACCGGCTGAAATTCAAAACTAACGGAACTAACGCCTTAAACATTTGGGTCAAATGGTCTCTATGGCTACAGATGGACTCGTATGCAGAGTAATCAGTTTCATTGGGAGTAGATGGCCAATGGTTGAATTTATACCCAAATGTGTATGGGCCGAGACTGGGTATGCAAAATGGTATGGTAGCATAGTCCAGATGCTCTAGGTCCTCCTCAATTTTGACACAATGGTTGGTTCCTGCTCACGCGACAGCCCCAATTCTCAAGAACTTTGCTGACGATAGGTTGCCATTTTTGTTCCCTAAAGGGCATGATAAAAAGCGACTGAGAACATGATTTGTTGGTTGGGCTTTCATCGGGAAGGTTATATATTATAGACAGGTCATTATCCATACAACGGACAATTGAATTCATTGTATATGTGCGTGAGTAGAATATTCGTTTGAGTATACGTATATGTATGTGTGTGAGTATATGTATACGTGTGTGAGTATATGTATATGTGTGTGAGTATATGTATATGTACATATTGTTTCGTACATACATATTATACCATATTAAAATTGTTGTGTCGCATTTATCCTAAATAGCTCATATATATATATATATATACACATCCAATGGACGATGTCATTCCCAGCCTTTTCAATGGCCAGGTAGCGGTATCAAGCAGAAACTCAGCGAAGCAGAGGACAAGCTGTAGATGGGCTTGTCTATCAATGGAGTAACGCAAGGTTTCAGGACTACATATATTCTATGTTTGGGAAAAATCAGATGTTTTTTCATGTTGTTCAAATTGAAAAAGGAATTGCCTATGCCTCCGCGTACAGATTGCTTATTGAACTGGGGGGAACTTGGGAGTATGTAACTTGATATACCACCAACAATAGTAGTGTTTTGCCCTGCGATAGTGGTGAAGAAGTAGAAGTGGCTTGAATTACTTTCCATCTCCTATGCCAGGGAACACCCGGACTAACCAACACATTTGCAGAAGGGATGCCAAGAATATATCCATGTGCACCGAAGCAACAACTTTCCAGAGACTTCCGCTGAAGGATGGCAAAACCTTGCGCGCGTCCGCTGTGCTGGAGGCTCTCAAGCCCCTGCCGTGGAGGGAAAAAAAAGATGCGCAGCTCGCAGGGTCGGAAATTGGTTGCGCAGCTCTCTCGAGCACTCTTGGATGGTTCAACTGTTCAACCAAGTAAAAAGTTGATAAAGATCAAAAAGAACAGAATTCAATGTCACAGCAGTCTTGGATATTTCCCAAACCAACAATGCCTCACATTGGGGTGTGCCGAAATTCTGACCGGAGACGTGAGTTGGGATGCATGACTTTGGATGATGCTGAGGTGATGCACTTCAAGAGTCCTTTGAAGGTGGGCATTTGGATTCCAACGGTAGTAACCAGAGATAACCAAAGGGTCATTTTCAGCAAACTGTGAAAAAAACAAGATGGTCGTTATTCAACATAGCTTTGAAAAATGGTTGCCTATGACAACATGGTGATCTTCCAGTTTGGTACGTTAGATATTCAGAGGGTATAAAGTGCCGGATGAACCATCAACCTGCCATTATGGATGGTAGATCTAGGACATACAAACTGGAGATATGCTTATTCTTGTGGCAAAACATGTTTCCCTCATGTGTTGTTGGATGATCCAACCATGCCAAAGCTGACACGTGCCTGTAAACCTTGGGGATGCCTGAAGCATTGATGCTCTCCCCTACTCAGTGCACAACATGACGCTATTTTCCGGTCGAAGAGGCTTTGAAAATAACAAGCCTTTGCACGTTACACACACACACTCTCATATTCTTGGTCGATCTGCAGTTTTGTTGGGTCAATCCGCGGTGCTCTTTGTTGCCCTCAGCTGGTCATATCTCCATGGCTGGCTGTCTCCTCATTTGGCGTGTGCAATTTTTGCTACCCCAGAGCCCCAAAGTCTCATTCGTGATCATCATGAATTCTCAATGTAGATTGGCAATTAATTGGGTATCCCCAATTCTTGGACGTAGCCACATCAAAATTTCTTGGCCACGTACAGTACCCCTCAAAAAATATAATATTATGTCCGCAACAGGCGAAAACATGACAAACTATCAATCCACCATCCGCCCTGTATGGTTGATATGATTTATATCCCTTGTAGCCCCCCCAAAAAAGAAAAATCACCTGGTAGTGGTGAATTACTTTTCTGTCTTTTTTGGGGGTTCCCTTGATCCCTTGATAAATATATATATATACATACATATATATATATACATATATATATATACATATATATATACATATATATATATGTACATATATATATATATATCCACATCGATGATCTATCACACATCTTCTGTGCGCTTGTTCCAGTGTGAAGGTGATCGCGGCCACAGCCGTGGGTGCGGGAGTTTCTTATGTGCGACAGTGCCCAGGGCATGTGAGGATTGGCGGCTTCATGGAGGGTTCATCAAAACGACATGTGTTTTTTCCGACAACAAATGGGGTATAATTAGGGGTATTAACAAATCAGGGGTATATAACAACTAGTGAATGCCAATGAATCTGGTTTGTGGTTTGATTTTCATTTTTATGTCTGTGCCAGCGCGTCTGATAAAGTGGTGGTTTCATTTTTTCAAGACGATCTTGTCCATCTTGGGATGGGTTGAAGCCACCCTGAGAACTTGCAGAGGCATGTAGGAAAGCAGAGCTACATTGCAAGTGGGCATCCAGCATCATGCCATGTGGCTTCCAGCCACAAGTTGGGAATGTCTGATGGAAAACGGAACTTTCTACTTGGATTCCTGAAGAACCAGCGACTCAAAGTTGTTTCCAGTCTTGAGTTAGGAAACCTCAGCGTAGCATGGTGACCCAGTCACTCGATTGTAGATTGTTCAAAGAAAAGATACGGGAAACCTCTGGAAGTTCGGAAATAAGGCCACGATTTGTCGTGCAAGAAAAACTCTTGCCCCCGGGAAGACAATCTGGCAAGCAACGGAGAAAAAAATAACAAATGTGAAAAACTTAGATCATTTCGATGTTCAACTATAATCAACTATAGAGATGTTCTGCTTTTCACAGGTCAGATTACGGCCCCACAATGGGTGAAGGGGTCGAGAGGGTCTCCAGGTATCAAGGCGATGTGGTGGGCTTGCCGCCACCTGGCTCCGAGCTGCACATCACTGGGAACCTCCAGGTGAGACAGCGACGCCAGCGACGCCAGCGACCCCCGAAAATGAATGGGAAGGATACCAATAGAAATCCCAAAAAGGTTGAAACATGTAAAAATCTTGCGCTAATAGTCAAACATTGCTTTTCGATCTTTTTTTTTGGGTTACCATGATCCAACGGCCGTTCGGGGATGCCGCAGGCTGATCTAACCAGCTGGGTGCATCAGTGGCCATGGGAGATGCCAATAGAGTCTTGGACGGATGAAATCCACATGGATCAGGAAGAACTTCGCAGAGACCCAAAGAGCAAAGATTTGGGTCATGAGATTTTGGTCATGTCTACTAACCAAGAATGATGACAATGCCAGAATTGGAAAAAGATCTCCTGATGAGGATGATGACTGCAGGAAAGCACAGGGACATGTTCGTAACTGAAACCTTGGAGAATCAAAGTGTCGTTCATGAACATGTGTATCAGGTTGGACGAGCATGGGAAGCCATACATGATTGTTTTCAGCAGGCATTCTACTTGGCATTGTGATGTCTCTTGCACTTGGCCTGGAAAAGGACAACAAACGTGAGCTCAACATGTATTAGCAACTCCTAAGATCCCAAACCTTCAGTATCAGCCCTACACCAAAAACCATCTATCAAGTAGATATGCGCGTCCAAGCAGGGCGAATGTACCAACTATTGATTTCCTTGCTCCAAAAACACACAAACACGAAATGGGTAGGTCAAAATCATCAGCACCAGGAATGACACATGAAAGGTTTCAGTTGCACAATTATCATGACGAATTCCAGTTGGGTCCAGCTGTACCCCATGACCCACCCCCAAGGATGCGACCGTGGCTCGTCTTGGTGGCTGGCCTATGGCCATTCTGTGGCTCAGCTTCGTGGATAGATCTACAGACAAGTACAACGTATGTATATGCAATACGAAGATATATGTACTTACACACACATATATGTATATTTATTGTGTATATATCTATATATTTATTGTATACATACATACATACATACATACATACATACAGACAGACAGACAGACCGACCGACAGACCGACAGACCGACAGACCGACAGACCGACGGACGGATGGACGGACAGACAGACAGACAGACATACATACAGACAGACAGACATACAGACAGACATACATACATACATACAGACAGACAGACATACAGACAGACAGACATACATACATACAGACAGACAGACATACAGACAGACATACATACATACAGACAGACAGACAGACATACAGACAGACATACATACATACAGACAGACATACAGACAGACATACATACATGCAGACAGACAGACATACAGACAGACAGACAGACATACAGACATACATACATACAGACAGACATACATACATACATACATACATACATACATACATAATAGATAGATATACATGCCACATTTTTTTGTAGCAACTTATGTGCAGCATCTATGGTTCATACCCATTTTATGGGTCATCCCGAGGTCGGCGGTGGCCTTCGCCTTTGTGGACTACCTGGCCATCATTTCGGTGGAGGTCTCCATCTGGGTTTCCCAAATGATGGGGGTTTGGAAATGGGAGAAGTTGGGATGCTATGACGTATTGATGGGGTTAATTCACGTTAATTAATGGGTATCTGAATGGGTTAATGGATGCTAGGATAATGGATACTTAAGTGGGATATCTAATGGGATATGTCCTCTCGGAATCAAACGAGGCTGGCGGGAAATCCCGAACCAAATGGAGGTGTATACCTGGGAAAAACGTCGAACTAAATGGGGCATTTTCCGGCACGCCGCGTTTGATTCCCGGAGGGAATGTGTTGTTTTTCCTTCCTGGTTTGTGAAGTTTTGGACTTTGTCTGGATTGACAGTGCCAGAGTTTATTTTCACAACAAGACCTGGGGTGGTTTTCTATGTTTCATTCAGGTCGTGATAATTCCAATTGGATTCAGCAAATGGTTCCAGTGTCCTTGTCTTTGCACCGTGTTTTATCTGGGACCCTTGATCCAAGGTGTCGATTTTGCTCAGGACGCAATCATTTGCAAGGGCCAAGAGGTGAACATGTTAACCATTTTGCAGCATACATCATGGCCAGTTTCGGTCCTGGTTCTATTGTTGCAAGATGTATCGTGACCATCTTGTTGATGGGCGGTCTGATCATCCTGGTCATATCTCCGAGGAAGGGTACGTATGTTTTCGGTTGTGCGACTTTGGAATGTCACTCATACGGGTGTGTCTCAAACTATCGGGGAAGTAGAGGATTTCATGGTGTTGTTTTTCCAGCAGGTGAAGCTATCTGGATCAGTGTACCTCCGATCGTGACATGGACAAAACCCCACTATTTATAGCATATCTTCGTTGTTGTGGCTCATTCCCCAATTTTTTGCCGTGCCAATCTGCATAGGGGAATCGACTGATAGGGGATTCCATCCACAAATAGACTGGGATATGACCAATGACCGACAGACTATAAAAACTTAAAACATACACTACACACACGCAGACACAGACACAGACACAGACACAGACACGCACACACACACACACACATTCTCTCTCTCTCTCTCTCTTTCTCTCTCTCTCTCTCTCCATTTTATAGCATGTGGTCATGTGGTATTAAACATATTCTATCTAGTCATCTAGTCACCACTTTAACTAACTAATCTCAAAGATGCCCACTTTCATTCCCCCAATGGGTCCACATGGCGTCTCGGTCAGGCTGAACGACCCGCACCAGGTGGCAGTAGACCCTCCCGAGAGATGGCCGGACAGGGATTTGCCTGTGACATGGCAGGGGTTTAGTGCGCCGTGATTTCTTTGTTCTTTTTGTAGGCAATGGTTCTAGTGATAGTGATTCCTGGCAATTTTCGTTCAAAAAACATATTTTTCTGGAAGAAAAGGTTGTGGTCCTTGGGGACGCTGAATGTTGAAATTTGCTTCAGAATTTGGTGCGTGGCCTACAAGTTTGTGTTGGTTGGATAGGTGTTGTGCCACTAGTTGCCAATCCAACGTGTGTGGGAATGACAAGACTCAGGAACAAAGTCCTTGACTGGTCCATGATATCAATAGGTAGCAGGCGGTTTCATGGTTTGTCATTCAAAGGTTCCCAAGTGGTTGAGGATGGTTGACAGAATATACAAGTATGTTTTGGTGCGTAGGTGACAATTTTCGCGAAGTTGTTGCATTTGCGAATGTCTACGCCAAATTGTGCGTGTGCGAAACCGAGTGATATCCAACATCTGGCAGATCATGGTCCAATTGTCTGGCGACAAGGCCACTGGTTGGGGTACTCATCTGATGCAACGAAGTTGTCTGATTTTGTTGGCGATTTGCACCCATGGTTGATATTGTTGGTTCATGTTGGTTCATGAGTGTCCCAGGATTGTGGATGAAGTTACTGATGAAGTTCCATGCTGCAATGCCTGTGCTGTGCTGCGATGAAAAACCAGTGCAAATTGAGCAAAGGCCTGCCATGAGGACACGCGAAGTTGGGCCAATGGGGTCATCAGATAAGCTCCGGTGTGCTCCAGTGCAGCTCCCGGGTCAGGTTCCGGGGCGGTTTGCAGCTCAGGTGGTGTGGTTCCCACATCAGGTTCCGGAAGTTGTCAGGTTCTGGAAGGTTTCTGTGCAGTGCCCAGGTCAGGTTCAGGAAGCTTCTGGTGCAGCGGAAAGTCAGTGCATGTGCTCAGCTGCAAGCAATGATCAAAAGCGATTTCTGATAGCTGCTGCTGTTGGGATACCATCCAAGCTTTTCACAGCTGAGTCTCCTTTCGCATCCATTAGCTCCATCTTTTTCTTCTTTTGAACCTGTTGAACCTGTCAGAAAGTCTCAGATAGTGCCAGATGTAGCCTCCGGCAGTCCGCATTCAGTTGATGCTGCCATGGAGGTGTGCTCAGTCTTGTCAGGCGAGACGCTGCTAGTCCTTGAGGCAGATGATTTTGAAGGCAAATCAGCAAAGACGCTGAAGCACTGCTTGGCTGCCCATGTCGCGGTCTCCAGATTCAGGCAGAGACTCTTCTCTGAAGATGGCTCTAGGATCCAGGATGATGATGTGTTCGCCTTGGCTCCTGCAAAGATCCAGCTTTTGCTCGTGGAAGCGTTGCTGCCTGATGCTGAGCAAAGAGAAAAGATAATCTCTGCAGCCAGGGACAACGACTGCAACGTGCTTGAACAGTTGCTCCAAAGCCCGCAAGATCCCAACGCGGCAGACGAAAATGGCAACACACCCTTGCATGCTGCTGCGAGAAACGGGCATTTGAATCCTGTGAAGCTGTTGCTTGAGGCAGGTGCAGAAACAGATCCACAAACAGAAGCTGACAGGATAACGCCTTTGCATTTTGCAAGCGCCGGTGGTCATATGGACGTTGTGCAATTTCTGGTTGATGCCGGCGCGGATAAAGAGAAAGCCTCAGATCGTGGCCTTACGCCCTTGTTGCTGGCAGTCCACCAGGGCCATCTCGGCATAGTCCGCTTCCTGCTTGAGGCCGGCACGAATAAAGAGAAAACCTCGGATGGTGGTTCAACGCCCTTGTTGATTGCAGTCCAACAGGCCCATCTGGACATTGTCCGCTTCCTGGTTGAGGCCGGCGCTGATAAAGAGAAAACCTCGTATGCTGGTTTAAGTTTAACGCCCTTGTTGATGGCAATCCAACAGGGCCATCTCCACATTGTCCGCTTCCTGCTTGACGCCGGAGCAGATAAAGAGAAAGCCTCAGATCGTGGCCTTACGCCCTTGTTGCTGGCAGTCCACCAGGGCCATCTCGACATTGTCTGCTTCCTGGTTGAGGCCGGCGCTGATAAAGAGAAAACCTCGTATGCTGGTTTAACGCCCTTGTTGATGGCAATCCAACAGGGCCATCTCGACATTGTCCGCTTCCTGGTTGAGGCCGGCGCTGATAAAGAGAAAACCTCTGGTGGTTAACGCCCTTGTTGATTCCAACAGGGCCATCTTGACATTGTCCGCTTCCTGATTGAGGCCGGCGCCGATAAAGAGAAACCTCCGCTGCTGGTTTAAAGCCCTTGCTCAGCTGGCACGCCCCCAACAGGGCCATCTCGTCATTGTCCGCAGTTCCTGCTCTTGAGGCCGGCGCTGATAAAGAGAAAACCTCGATGTGGTTTAACGCCCTTGTTGATGGCAATCCAACAGGGCCATCTTGACATTGTCCGCTTCCTGATTGAGGCCGGCGCCGATAAAGAGGAAACCTCCGCTGCTGGTTTAAAGCCCTTGCTGCTGGCAGTCCAACAGGGCCATCTCGACATTGTCCGCTTCCTGCTCGAGGCCGGCGCTGATAAAGAGAAAACCTCGGATGGTGGTTCAACGCCCTTGTTGATGGCAGTCCAACAGGGCCATCTTGACATTGTCCGCTTCCTGATTGAGGCCGGCGCCGATAAAGAGGAAACCTCCGCTGCTGGTTTAACGCCCTTGTTGATGGCAGTCCGACAGGGCCATCTCGACATTGTCCGCTTCCTGCTTGAGGCCGGCGCTGATAAAGAGAAGACCTCGGATGGTGGTTCAACGCCTTTGTTGATTGCAGTCTATGAGGGCCATCTCGACATTGTCTGCTTCCTGGTTGAGGCCGGCGCTGATAAAGAGAAGACCTCGGATGGTGGTTCAATGCCCTTGTTGATTGCAGTCTATGAGGGCCATCTCGACATTGTCCGCTTCCTGGTTGAGGCTGGTGCTGGAAACCGTGATCGTGGGCTAGTTCTATTAATGACTGCAGCTGTGCAGGGCTATCCTGACATTTTCTGGTTTTTGGTGGAGCATCGCAGTGGCATAGGGTATCAGCAGGATGGATGTTGCCATTGTCAGGTGCAGCTGCAATTGGCGTTTCGGACGTCGTGCGCTTGCCTGCTGAGCATAGTGGATATGGCGCGGCGTTCTGTGAGGCATTGACTGCACTCACCTGGGCGTGGTTCACAGGGCTGACGGATGGGCTTGATGCCCATTTGAAGATGGATGGAAGCACGAAAAGGTCCAAATTACTATATAGCCTTTTTATCTATAGCAATCTATAGCATTTGTAAATAATTTAAGAACTGCATATTTCGTATCTGCTTCAAGTTGACCAGATCCTGCGGCAACAACAATCCGTCCCTCTGCTGAAGTTTGGTTCCTGACCTCTCCTGATGGCAAAATCTGCCAGCCCTCTATTTGACCCTAAAAACCATGGTTTCAACTGTTTCAACCATAGATTTTCGTATATTTTCGTTCAAATCATCATCGAGTCCCAGCAGCTCTTGGACGCAAGGTATTGCCTCTGGCATGGGAGGTAGTGCACCCGTGGGCGGATCGCTGACCCGGTCCATGCTGGCAGGGATGATCGGCCCCGTAGCTGCATTCACTGCGATGATTTTGGAGCAAAACTGACCATGGGGATTTAACCATAAAAAGCGGGGATTGAACCTACTGAATTTGGGGAAAGGGGACAGAATTGGATAGAATTGACCAACCATGTGAATTTGGAGTTGCCCAAAAAGGGGGATGCCCCAACCTAGTCGATGTGATGAGAAAATGATGAGAAACAATGTTTTTTTTGACCATATTATTTTCAGACAAATCGCCGGAGCAGTGGCCAAGACCATTGATTGCTGAAGGGTTCTTTGGGGTTCTGGTGACTGGTTTGCTAGCTGCTAGGGATTGTTATGGCACATGGAAAATCTCGTGAACCAATAGCGACGACAAAGTTTGGACAACTCGCCTGGAAAAGGGACGTGGCACCGTAGCACATTTTTTGCTGGAATTATCTCGCTAGACTTACAGACTTACAGGACTAGGTTTTACCCCGGGTGACAAGAACATGTTGCGAATCAGGGATTGCATCTTGTTTAGATCCATTCTTTGGTGAGGCTCGGAAGATTTAAGTGTCCCCCTCCGCTTGATGGTGACGGGCAGTAGAAAAATAGTCGTGGAACACACATTTGAGGTCATGCGACCACATTGGACACCCAGAGATCATAATTTTAAGATATTTCAAGTACAACCTGACTCTTTGTCAGAAAACTTCCACATTTTGGGTGCTTCAATCTTGTCCGGCTGGCAATTCTTCCAAGCCATTCGGAATTTTGACCGAAAAAAAAACTGGATGGACAAATTGCCAGACCTCCTGGTGGTCATTGTTGGCCAGTTGGATCTGGTTTTGAGGCTTCTATTCTAGGCATTTCCAGGTTTTTTTTCCAGGTTTTTGGGTATCATCTTTTGCTGGAGATGAATCTCCCACACTCGTGAGATGGTCAAACTGTTCCGTTCCAAACTTCTCCGGTTCTTGGTGAGCCAAGGGGCTTCTTCTCCGAGTCTTGGCTGAAGATTCATATTTTTTTTACCTCTCTTTGGTTTTGGTATCATTTACCTATCTCGTTATAGAACCAGGCACTTTGGTTGTTCATGAACTTTGATTTGTGCCAGAGTGAAGCATCACACCAAAACAACCAGTTCATGCACTTCATGCTCCATTCCCAGGAGAGGAACAGTCGAAACCCCTTTACCGTTCGGTAATTTTTCACATCACCATGGAACATCACCCATTTTTCATAGGTAAATCATCGAAGTCAATGGGTTTTTCCGGTCATTTTCCATAGCTGCCATAGCTATTGCTCGAGTGTTGTTGGATGTTGGTCATCACGATGACCTCGTTGGGCGTGCTGCTATAGGATGATGGGGCTGGTCTGCGGCTTCGTCACAATGTGCCTGGGTTTTCCCTTCATCGCCACCCTGTTGGAACCCACTCCGAAGGCCGATCTCCGGGGGAAGAGTGGGAAGAGTTTCTATGGCAACTTTGGAGGTTGGAATTGGGATAGTGGAAGTCTCAGGATTCGCTTTTGACCAAGAATTTCGATGAAGCTGCAATTTAGTTTTTGAGCACTTGAAGTGGTACTCCAAGATCATTTGCACCTCACTCTCAACTCTTTTACGTGGATCATGTGAGGCGGTCTTATCCTCAACGGTGCTGGCAGTGCTTTGGTTGCAGAATTTTCCCAGCTGCCAACTCCTCAAGTGAACAGATCACTCATGGAAGTTGGTGACAAGAATCAACATAGAATGCTGATTTTTTCTGGAAAGGGGTTTATAAATGTTAATAATCCCTATGACTAAGGTCTCAACGTGTCTCAACTGTACGTCTCCAGACAGACCTTGACATTTTGACAATTTTGACATCGATGAACAGTCCGGTAGGACATGGCCTAAGTGGTCCCAAGTTCGCTGATCTTCCTCTGCTGGCATTGCTCATTGATAAAGCATATGGATATGGCCCCTAAAAAGGTAGACAAGTCAAATCCTTGGGCAAATAGCTCTTCTATCTTTTTTGGGGTTACTGTACAGCAACTCGCACGGTCCGTATGGTTCAAGACTAGAAACGGTAAGTCAGTCTCCAAGTGGGTGTGTCTGAAAGAGGGTCTACGGCGTCTGCAGCCAATTCATGACCATTTTGGATCAAATCATGATGAACCAGTGGATTTGGGGTGGCTTTGCCCTACAATTTCGAACACACCCATATCATCAGAACGAACCTATATGATCAATAATTACCATTGATACCCATAATATCCATCAATATATCATATATTCCTCATATAGAATATATATATATATATATAATATGAATATATGATATACATATACGTTACATATACACATTATATATATATATTAATTATTATTATACTATATATATACACATAGTATAATAATATATATATATACATATATATATATATTATCCCATGGGTTGGTAGTTGTTCTCCATTGACATCCCATTGTCACATCGTCCAGGCCGTGCTGCCCGCAGTGGTCGGCTGACCTCAGTTGGTTGGTGGGGTATGGGTCCACCAGCCAATGCCAACTGGTAAACTAACAGTTTGCGAACTGGAACATGGCCATTTAGATGGCCATTGAGTTCGTTGATTTACTTGATTTACCTATTCGAAATGGTGATTTTCCATAGTGATGCTAGTCTGCCAGAGGCTAATACGCCGATCTTTGGAGTAGGACAACATCTGTCAAATAGACACACCTTGCCGCACTAGGACCGTTGTTTGAAGGCTAACACCTTACCTTCCTGGATACCTGTGATTCTTTGTGGCTAAACCCCAAGGCCAAAAATGGTGGGTCAGTCTTGAGGCGAGGTGGCTACTCTTCCATTGTCACGTTGTCATGCAAGATTAGCTAGCAGAGGCTAGACCTTTCAGATTTTTAACGATTTGAGCAGTGTCAGACACTCATTGGTTTATTTGTTCATATTGGGTTTCTACCGACCTATAGAAGGGATCACTACTGCATTATTTGAATAGCTATGAAATGCTTTGAATAGACCAATAGAACTCATAGAACCAACCAGGTCAACCAGGTTTTTGACGCAGTGACTCAGGTGGCGCCGAAGGATCTGCTGCGTTTGAAGGGCAGCGATGTTTCTGGACGAAGCCCGTAGAAAGTGGATTCTTCTTTAGGGATACAGAAGGAGTACACTGGGATATGCAACCAAAATGATGATAGAGACATAGTGGGGATATACATAATGGGGATATAATGGGGACATAGTGGCCACATAATGGATGTAATGGGGTATTTAATGTGAGACTAAACCCAGGTTGATTAGGACTTTCCCGCCAAGAGTGATCATTGACAAATTGGCGCCCCGCAAATGAGTCATAGCGATTTGGCTTTCAATTCTCCAATGACCACTGTAATGCTGGCCGCAACATCCACGACCCGAAGAGTCAGAAGACAACCATTGATTGGCGAACGTGCAACCTGCTGTCGAGGGGCTATGGATGCATTCCTGCATGTTATACCCGTTATTTCATAAATAATATTTTCTTGGGGAAATCGATTCATTGTTAGTAAAGCAATTCCATAAACCACCCCATGTAAATCATGTAAATTGATGATTTGTACCACCCATCAAAAAAGGTAACATTGGGGGCGGATCCTGTTGCTGTACTAACTTTCCATGCGAGGCTTTGGCTGGTTGGATTTCAGCTGCTGCAACCTGTGTCTTGGCCACAGCCACCTGTAAGGTCTTCAGCACCGGTGGAAGGTGCAGTTGACTTTTCAAGTGTTTTGTTGAAATACCTTGGGGTGAACTTACATGGATGTGGGAAACCACTTTTTTTTTGAAATGATCTACGAACTCTTAGTAGTTCCAGGAGGCGAAACTTCAGCAAGTCCGGGCGTTCGCCCGTTCATCACTTGGGGATGGGGTTCTCCGCTACCAAGTAATGGCAGCAAGGGAAGATGATTTGGGAGAACTGGACGGAAGACTTGGATGACTGAAGAGGTTGTTACTGTTTCTTGGTCATCATATGAATCATATCCCTGCTTTTTGATGGTAACATCAGCCAGATATCCCATGAAATCGCCATCTTTTCCCGCCTCATCTCTGATGATGGCTCCAGGTATGACTGATCCAACCAAGGGCTTTGGCGCCTTGGCTTGAAAACGATTGGGACAAGGGAGCGCCATCACAAGAGGCTTAAACTTAAAGCATATGAGATGTCTGCGTCCTAAAGAGATTGGGAACACTTGGACACCCCTGCAACTTCACCGGTTAGTGATGCATTTGAGTATGGAAACCAATGGGTTGGTGTGTGAATGCACTTTGTAGGGGGATAGTCTATCTGTTTCAGGCTCCCAAAGGGAAAGAAGTCACACATTCCATCCGGGATTCCATCCCTGTAATGATTGGGTTCCAATTCAAAGGCGTTTTTTGTTTTCTCGCAATCTTGAGAACCAGCTGAGAACCAGCTGAGAACCACACCCGCTGGGTCTCCAAATAAACAGAGGCTATTTCCCATACCAAGTTTGCCATTTTCCATGGTGGGAGTTTGGGGACATCAACCAACATGCTGAGCCCGGCAGGAATCGGCTGTGCAACCTATTTCCTGTTCTACGGAATGCGCAGGGCCGGAAAAACCAGCGCCACCACGAAATGACGGGATGACAAGCATCCCTTGCATGTGGGATCATGTGGGTTTCTTAAATGAACGGTATCACTCAGTAAAAGCAGAACACCTGTTGTGCCACCTGCACCAATATGGTTGGAATTGAGCAACCAGATCTGATGAAGCCGGTTGAGCTTCATAGAAACTCCGGCCACAAAGTGGGCCAAAACCGTATGGCCAACGTGCAAAAATCGTGCTGAGAGATTCTTGCAGAGTTAAGTCGGTTTAATACTTAGATACAAAAGTTTGTTCCAAACATATCCAAACATTACATTCATGTTTTCTGTCTTTTGTTATTCTCATCGTTTTTTTTTTAATCCCAGTATTCTGAAGTCGAATCCCTCACCCTGATGGCCTTGATGCCCTCAGCCCTCAGTTTTCAACAACAAATGCTGATTTTTGGTGGGTTCATCTATTTCTGAGCTGAAAAATTGACATAGCATTTTATTCACCAGAAATTCAATGCTTCAAAGATGTTGAAAGCATATTTGCTGGGTTCATCACTGCCTTGCTCTATTAGGTGAAAATTAGCTGCCAGAATCCCTGTGTTCGACTTAGTGCCAGTGCCACTCCGACCCACTCCGATCAGAACAAGTTGAGCGAGAAGGATTTGAGAATCGCTGCTGCGCACGAGTGCGTCGGGTCGCCATGGGACTCCAACAGCTTGGAGGAAATTGGAGATTAGGACAGATTGCAGGTTCAAATTGACTAAAGCTACAGCTGTTCGGCAATTGGTTGGAGTAAAATGTAGATTTAGATACAACATTTAGAAGGGTGTCACAATTTCTACGCATTTTGAACAATTTTGGCGTTCCAATTCTAGGATTTTGGCGCTCGGACAGCCTGACGTGGTGGTTTTCTAGATGGATCAGATCTCTGAAAGAAACTGCGACGCCTGCAGTAGTTCCCTTTTCTCCTGAAAGTGGTCAAAACAGAAGCCCATTACACCGAATGCCGGCTGCCCATCCAGTTCATCCAGTTGATTGAGTTCTCACGGACCTGAAGTCAATACGAACATCTTGAACATCTCAACCTCTGTCAAGAATCTCAACATTTTGATGATGATTTTGGCAGATTTTTTGCAGAATCCACCGGTGATTTTGGCCCTTCAAAATGCCTCGTTTCTGATCTCTCTGCCGAGGTGGGTCTGGTGGTGAAGAAGTGGATCCTGGGCGATGCCGAAGGACTGAAGGTCCAGGTCTACCAGGTTCGGGCTTCGAAATCATCGTCACGGCTGACCATTTTAGAAACTTGAAACCCAATGTTTTTGGGTCCCTTATTTTAAGATGGACTGTTTTTTTTCTGAGATTGGGACTTGTGGAATATTTTGAAGTAAGACCAGAACATGATATGACCTACAAGTGAAGATATTGTGGGAGTTACAGTAAAGATGGGATTTTTAAGTAACTAGGGGGGTGATCAGCAAAGGGACTCATGAGTACCTCAATCTTCTGAGGAAGCCAGTCCCTCGATTGAAGTTGATCAGGTGACCTGAAATAGTGACTGGAGGGAGAAATTATGGAACTGGAACCCAAGCTTTCAGGTTCCGTTTCTACACACAGATGACCAAGGATTCGGAAAACCTTGAACTTGTCCCAGACCCTAGGATGAACGTCCGCACTCACATTCACTGTAGTTGTTGACCAATGGTATGGCTCGAGTTCTTTAGCCACCCACGCTGGCACTATTGAAGCTTCACCAAACGTGTTGATGATCCTCCTGGTGTCTAGCAATGTGGCTTGGGGGAACATGTTCTAACATATGATCAGAATCCATTTCGGCCATTGATATATATATGGCATAATATACATACATATGTGTATATATATATAATATCTAATATATATATATAAATAAATAAATAACTAAATAAATAAATAAATGTACATGTATATATACCTATAATTCCCTTAATACAAACCACGCATGTTGCAAGATTTTGGTGGCAACATGCCCGCACTGTTGGAGCCGTTTTGGGGCCAGGTCTGGTCCAAATGGGCCTTGAGGCGCGCAGAGGTGCGGAAAAAACATCATCCAAACATCATTTTCGTAAGGCGTAGCCAGGCGGACATTGAGGGCAAACATTCAGGGATATTCACCCCGCTTCGCGTGGGGTGGCCGCCCACACCGCAGGTTTATTTCGGTCCGTGAGAGGGGCTAAGGGTGGTTTTCCCCCGTGGGGGCTCTTCAAATAAGAAATCCTTCCAAAACATTGTTTTTGACAGTGTTTTTCCAATGTTTCCAGTCAAACAGACGGTAATTTACACGTTTTTTGCCATAAAGGCAGTAAATCCTTCCAAAACATTGCTTTTGACAGTGTTTTTGTAATGTTTCCAGTCAAGCATACGGTAATTTACACGTTTTTTGCTATAACGTCAGTCCAAAACACTTGTTTTTGCAGTGTTTTCAATGCTCTGGCATCCAAAAACCCTGCAAAATCTTGCTATGTACAATGTTTTTTTCATTTTTGGCCGTTTTTCCATTGCCGGAAAGCTACCAAAATGACCCAAAATTCCATTTCAATACCCTCTTGCGCTCAGACACCCAAAAATCCTCGAAAAATGTCGAAAACACCACCGTATTCTGGTCTCGGTGCGAAACCGTTTTTGGGGTCTGGTCTCGGTGCGAAACCGTTTTTGGCCCCCCCCCCCCAGCTAAAGCTGATATAGCGACTGCTATATTAACAAATGTCATTGAGCATTTAGTGTTGCTGTTGCCCCCCAATAAGCACGCCTTCACCGCCAAAGCGGTGTGGGCGGATTTATCTGGTTGGTGGTTTGGAACATGGCTGGATTATGGCTTTCCATGTATGGGGAAGAATCATCCCAACTGACGAAGTCATATTTTTCAGAGGGGTTGAAACCACCAACCAGATGTATATTTATGTATCTACATGATTTATGTACACCCTGGTTTCTATGCCGCTTAGGCCTAGTTTCGGCATGAAACTTTGAAGATGTAGCCCGACGTTTGGAAGCTTTGAGAAGCTGTCAGGCATTTTGTTTGCTTTGGATTTGTAGGTTCTTTGACCGCAGCTTCTTTTGAAGATTTCGGGGTCGATGATAAAACGGCAACTTCAAGGATTCGAGAAGCAGTACAGTAGTTGTACCAGTTTCATCTGTAAAATTGCTGGATTACGGGGTTCCAGGCTTTCACAGGTCGAACACATCCTTTTTCCACAAGCCACCAGCATGGTCAGGATGAGAAGAAACTGGCCTCTGTTCACATGGCCTTGAGCAAGTGGGTGCCCATCTCAGTCAATGTGGTGACTGGTTGGCATCAAACATTGGGTTTCCATTGATGGTCTCAATCACTGACAAATATCTGTGTATAAATATAAATGATTTGAAGGCACCAATTCCTCCTGTTTTGGTCATGTTGGTGAAATGGTTTCCTTTGTCCGTCTTACCCGTCTTACCCGTGGTAATCTCACATAGCCGCCCTGAGGACCGCACTACAGGTGGTCAGATTGTAGTTAGTTACTTGGGGCGCAGTTCCAGTGAACCAAGTGGATATAACCTGGATATATATATATAATATATATATATATATTATATATATATTATATATATATTATATATATATTATATATTATATATATTATATATATATATTATATAATATTATATATATATATCCACAGTAGACCATAGTTATAAGATGTTCTAAGATGTTTTGTTTCCCAAGTCGAGGTGATCGCCATTGTTATATCCACCCCAGTTGGGCCATTGACTTCGCCAAGGCGCGGGGCGATGCCAAAGGAGTCCGGGTCCCTGGCACTCTGCGGCTGGCCTTCGAATGGCAAAGTTGGAACCCCCCATTCATACATAGAAAAGGTGAATTCTATCACTCTTCTAGTAAGATTTTGTTTAATTTTACCAACTTCTATCATTTTTTTGGGGCTTGCCAAAACTGGACCTGTTCAAAGACTAGGTCGCAGGAACCTCATCTGGAGTGCCAGGTTTTGCAGACGGTCTTCAGCAGCTGGAAGCACGATGCCAGTGTGGCTGCCGGAGAGCGCAAGACCGAGGTGCTGAGATGACGAACGTTTATCCGGAAAATATCCGGAAAACCATGGCTTCCTCCGATCAAATGGGGGCAGTGATTTTTCAGTACATGGTCATTTTTGAATGGCGAGAATGATAATTTTACTGATTTAAAGCATCATTTATTTGGGGGTACCCTGTTTTCAGAGAGATCCAGGTGGGGATCATTGACTTCAGGAAGGCCATTGCAAAACAAAGAGCCACCAAAAATGGGTGGAGTGCTGCGTTTTCCGAAGATTTTACCTCAGCCTGGCCTCAGACTGTTCTTGTTTACCCTCTGGTAAACTAACATAACTATGGAAAATCACCATTTTTTATGGGAAAACTCACTATAAATGGCCATTTTCAATAGCTATGTTAGTTTACCAGAGGGTACCTCCTCAGTGTTTTGTTTCGAGACTTCAGCGGCTTCAGATCACCACGTGTTGACATTTTTCTGCACGCAGGCAGCGCTGGATGTGGAAAGGGAAAAGATGGAACGATACCTGGAACCTCGGCATTTTGTGGTGGCCTGGACGGTCGCGTTCCCGGAATCCTGTTTTGGGGGTGTCAAATGTCCGAGCCGGGATTGCTGGTTCTCCTGGCTGACAGTGAAATGAACTAACCAAACTTTGCTACTCGTTCGTTATGTCACCAATGGACCTGACTTGTGACTTGGGGTCTCTGCTCCATCTAAGGAAGACGAGCGCAAACGTTGGCGTCTTAGCGTTGGCAAGCTCTGGTGGGAAGAATCGAACCTCATGGCCAGATTGTTGGACTTTTGCAGCACCAGGATGAAAAATGACGCAGTCATGGCTATTTTGGGGGACAATTTCTTTCCCAGTGAGTTTTTCTTGTCAATCTTTCTAAAACTATTGTCATTATTCAATAATTCTTATTGATGCCTATTCTTGTTGTTATCACTATATGTCATTGTTACAGTTATACTCTTGTTCCATCACCACCACCACCGCCACCACCACCACCAGCAGCAGCACCAGCAGAAATTCTCAGAAGAGGATTCCCCGCTTTGACTCCATCTCCGAGTGGCCGCAGGGCACGGAGACGAGCTGAATAAGTACAAGACCGAGGCCTGTAACCCTGGGAATCGGAGGTTAGTTTCTGGTGTTTCACTGTGAGATGACGAAGAATGAGGGATACTATATTTTGTTTCAGGTTTATTCATATACTTCAAGACCTGGGATGAAACTCGAAGATTGTTGTGCGGAAATCTCCTTTTAGGAGCTTGTTATACACATATGTATATATATATATATATACAGTATATATATATATATCTACGTAAGTATGATTATGCATACATGTACACATATACTCACATACACATATACACATAATATACATATATACTATATACATATATATATATATATGTATACATATGTACATATGTACATATATATACATATATATATACATATATATACATATATATATATATACATATACATATACATATATACATATATGTATACATAAATATCTATACATAGATATACATAGATACACATAGATATACATATACATACATATACATACATATACATCCATACATCCATACATGCATACATGCATACATTCATACAATCATAGATTCATACATACATGCATACATACATGCATGCATGCATGCATGCATGCATACGTACATGCATACATACATACATACATACATGCATACATACATACATACATACATACATACATACATACATACATACATACATACATACATACATACATACATACATACATACATACACACATACACACATACATACATACATACATACATACATACATACATACATACATACATACATACATACATACATACATACATACATACATACATACATACATACATACATACATACATACATACATACATACATACGCACACACATACGCACACACACACACACATGTATATATATATATACATACACAAACTTCCAATATGGTTTTGAATTCAATCTTTTCCACATTTTTCCACTGATGATTTTAGTCCATTGGCGTGGATTGGATTGGTTCATTTAACCGATGAGCGATGCTTCTCCAGTGTCTCAGCTGATTGTCTCCCTTGCCATTTGAATCCCGGCTTCCACGCGGTTGCCTCGAAATGGGATACCCAAAAGTGCCGCTTTGATGATATTTGAAGCGATGATATGCAATGATTATAGACCATGTTTTTTTTGAGGTTCCATATATTTTGAGACATCCAACAGATGCTCACGCTCTCGCCCGTCTTTGGCTGTTTTCGCTCAGCTGTTTGACAGCCATTGACATGTGTCAGACAATCAGATGGGAAGCTGTCAAGGTCTTTTCATGGATCACACCATTTTTCCGCATGGAATGAGTCACTTTGTTGATGGAAGATGTCTGTGATTTGAACTGGGAAACCCTCAACACCAACGCAATCACCGGTGACAAGGTGACATTTTTGGGGACACCCGCATTGGTTCCATGTTTTTTGACCATGCATCACCACTGTTCTTGGCAGCAAAAATCTAGTTGATTCAAGTGGCAGCTTCATGCCGAGGCTCAGGATTTTTATGATGGTTGGTGTTGGTAAAGGCATGGAATTGATGGCCTTCGATTCAGGTTTTGGACATATTTTTGTTAAATTGCTTAAACACATCCATGTGATTCAGGAGGATTATTCCCCAAATCCAGATTTCTCGGGGGTTGAATTCACCAACCAACTACCGAAGCTCCGAAAGTCGCCGGCTCTCACCATGGGCTGCAGTTTTGTCCGTGCTGCGACTGCGGTGGCTTTCTGCCACCTGCTTCAGGACAGGGATTTGGAGACATTGTCTGAGTTGGGGATGAGATCACCATCCCTGGGATGTGAATTGTATGTACGAAGTGATTCAATTATTCCATCCAAACTATTGAATCGAAGTCGCAGACATTTTTTTGCGATGATGTTTTCGGGCATCCGCAGCTCCAAGCGGCCGTGGTTTCATCTGGTTTCATCTGCTTTTTACGACCCACCGACCTTGATGAAACACTGAGAATTTTTCTGGACGCGCTAGGATTTTTTCGTGACGGATGCAGCTTCATCCTCGGCTCATGTCTACAGCAAGGTGGCTTCAGGGATAGTGATGACAAACATCCGGATGCTTCCCAATGTCTTTCCCTTTGCGAAACATTCCAGGGCCAGTTTTGTCAATTGGCATTGCACATCATTTACTTAGCTCGAATTTCGCATCGTGAGAATAGTATTTGGTATTTTCATTCTAACATTCAACTCGTAGCATTTATCACCCATGGCTGAGAAGGGGACCCCTCTATCAACCAATCAGTGAATGTCAGAGGTCTATGCAGCGAAGCGAAGTGTGACTGGACCTGGATTTTCACGACCTGGAGAGTTTGTGGTGACCTATGACCTATAGAGACGAACCTGATGAGTGAAGCAATATTCTGATTGCACAAAACTCAGAGATGTGAGCCTTGCATTTTTGGAATTTTCACTGAATAAGACTTGAGCCTTGCATTTTTGGAATGTATTAGTGACGAATAACTCAAGAGCAAACAGGTTTCTTGTCGCCATCCTCATTGCAAGATGGTGACAGGGCTCCAATCCACCACCAGGTCTACATCCTGAAAAGATCAACTACGATAGCATTTTTTGGGGTTTGGTGCCACCCTTGCATTCCTGGTTGCCCATTCATCCATTTATTTACCATTATCATTAGTTGTCCATCACTCCTTGAGGTTAACTACCTACTGTTTACCTATTCAGTAGTAACCATACATAACCATACATACATCCATTGGCGTTGCACACTATGAATGACCCAACTTCTACCCATCTACATCCATTGCCTATTGACCGCCCATTACTAATTGAACGTGGCAGCCACCTCTCATTCTCCTGGTGGCTATGAGCGGTGGCTCATCCTAGGGATCCTGAGTAAGTCACATCCCTTGTTTTGTTAGTGGGATAAGGAAGGTTAAACGACTTATACCTGTTGTGAACTACTCTACGTTGCGATTCGAGGGATGAGGCACCAAAGTAGTTTGATCTTTATGGCAAACCCAACAAAAGATGGTTGAATCAACAACACTAGGGGGGTTTTACCATGGTTTCACCTACCAGAAATCTATAGTATACAGTAGTGGGGATAGAATGCCCGATGATTACCAGAGGGCAAACTCCATTAGAAATTCTGTGAAAAATCCATTGTTATCAATAATTTACCATTATTAACGATGGTTTTCCCCATTCAATCCCATTAAATCCCATTAATTCCCATGGAACATAGCCATGAAATCCCATGAATTCCCAATGATTTCCACATGAAATCACCAGGATGAAGCAGCATTTTTTAGGGCTTGCCGTGTCAAGGACTACTACCTTCGCCGCGCTGAAAGCTTCGATTGGAGCCCGGAGGAGTGCCGGGCCCTGCTGGAGGCGGCGCTGGAGATCGACGCGGCTAATGCATCAGTGCCTGGTGTGGGAGCTGTGGGAGTTGTGGAAGTTGTGGGATGGAAAAACCAGATTCAGAACTGGGGATGATAAAAGTTTGTAATTAGATTTAATTAGATTAATTATTTCAATGATTTGATATCTGAAACACATGTTTATTCCCCACGTACCAACTAGGATGCAGCCCCGAATGTTCACCATTGACAGGCAAAGGGAGACTCAACCTCCAAGAATGGGGAGATCAACTTCAAATGGTGGTTGATGGTGGTAACTGGGTCATGATTTTCATGATTCTTGTGTATTTGTGTATATGACTGGTGGTTGTTTAGGAAGGAGCCAAGGAGCCATGGTATCCATATTCCTTAGTAAATGGGAGCCAAGGAGCTACAAAAAGTTTCCCATCCACATGATAGATTACTCATGATTACTCATTCATTTTCATCTGGGTTTTGGACTAATCCACGAAGTGAGGTCGTGGTGTGGGAATGGCCTGGTGGCTGATCATGACCTGAGGTGACAACTGTAGCTATGGATACCCATAGCAACCCCTGAAACGATAAGACAGCAAAATCCCATCCTAAAATAGTATATCATTATATATGTGTATAATATATATATATATATATAAATAGTAATTTTAGTGATTCACTTTTCTACCCTTTTTGAGGGGTTCCCACATCTGATTCTATTTCGTTCGCCAAGGTCCTGGCTCGTGCGCGGGTGTCGCAGTGTGACTTCCAGGACTGGGAACCTGGAAACCTTGAACCTACCACCCTATACGCAGTCACGGTTGTACATAGATATATAAACATATACACACTGTATATATATATATGTATAGATATATAGATATATAGAGATATATAGACATATAAATATGTATACGTATTTTCGTATATATATATATATATGTATAGATATATAGATATATAGATATATAGATATATAGATATATATATATATATAGATATATAGATATAGAGATATAGAGATATAGAGATGTACAGATATACACATATATATAGATATGCATACATACAGTATACATATGTATAAATATGTATACAAATAACATATGCATACACACATGCACATGAACGCATGCCAAGACCTGTTGGATGGCTTGAATTCCTGAAGGAGTTGGATGGTGGGATCAGATTGTGCTCCTTTCCACTGGGAGGGTTTGTCCCAAGAGTGGTGGATACCCCAAAGCAACATTTTAATATATTTTAATGAGAAAATGATGGAATACTATGGCGTTTCCTTGAGTACCCAAGTTTCAGACAAGCCAAAAAAAAGGCCCCCGAATGTTTCGAAGAGATCCCCCAAACTGTTGCGGTGGAAGCTGATCTGGTTGATGAGCCTGGCGGCTTGCCCAATAGTCATGGGGATCCCCAAGTCACCATCGGTTAACCTATACTAAGTCATGGTCATCCATGACGAGTGGATGATTTGGGGTACCCCCATGACTTACCCTCTGGTAAACTAACATAGCTATTAAAAATTGTGATTTATAGTGAGTTTTCCCATTCAAAATTGTGATTTTCCATAGTTATGTTAGTTTACCAGAGGGTAGGACAGCTCCATGACTTGATCTCCACTGATGACTGGCTTAGAATCTCCTTGAGGAGCCTTCGAAGTTAGAGGGCCCCACGGAGTTGCAAGTCGGCCTCTGGACCGCAGGGATGGTGAATCAATCCGAGGCTTCGGATCAAGCTACGAATGTTGTTAATATCATCCAACATCTCTCTATATATTGATATATATATATATATATATCTATTATCACCATTTATTTACTTTTTTCCTCCTAAGATGTATTCTATTAGCTGCAATAATTATGTGCCGCCGCACGGCGCTTTCAAGGCGCTGTTCGAAGCTGGCCCCGAGATTGGATGAAGTCAAAGAACTCACCCGAGATCAGGCGGTGAGACATGGTGGTTTTTTTCGACTGATTTTGGGTGGACCAGGTCCTACACATCCCCCAATCTGGAAGTGTCAAGTCTACCATTTGATTTTTGACGCTGCAGTAGATGACAGTAGTGACAGTAGATTTCTTTTTAAAAACTTACCGATTTTAATTGACAGATGCCTTTCAGGAGGGCTCTGACACACGGAGTCCCCGCGTGAGCCAATCCAAGATGGACCAGTTTAGTGAACCACTCCGCTGCCGTCCAGCCATCCCTGACAGCTCCCTCGGTTCTCAGGGACCTTTTTACTACGCCCTTGGGTTTCTTGTGCCCTGGCTCGAAGTGCGCTTGGAATGTTGGGATGGGTGAAGAATAAACCTCATGTTTGGATAGTTGACCCAGTTGACCTTATGATTTCTGGGACACCTCCAACGGAAGGATCATTTGATTTTTTGACCCAGTGATGGTGGGGGATTGGTCAGATGATATGCTAGGCTGAAACCACCTTTCGAGACCTCCAGAATGCCACATTTGATGATACCCGTGTCTGAAGTTCAAGCTGGAAGCAAACACATGGAAAGTCGCACAGGAAGAATTAACTTGTTCAATGTGCTTTCTTTGTGTTGGGCATTGAATAAGGGGGTAGTTCGTCATACTCATACATCTCATACTGCCTTATCTATCTCGTTTTTTTTCTTCCAGACATCTCGTAAAATCAGCGCTCCAACTGCAGGATTACATCCAACATCATGCAACTGTCTCAAAGCAAGGTCAAGTACTGAAAAAAAACATCCAGTATCATTCAGATAAACAAACAGTACTGGATGAAATAGTACTATTATCCAAAATAGTGTTTCACCTTTTTTTGGGATGATATATACCTATTACAATTCACTATGATATCTTTCCCCATAATCTGTTTGAAACTATGATATACTATAATATCTATTACAATTCATCAGAGACGCCAAGGCACGCGTCGGAGCTGAAGCTGAAGGATTGGCGTGGCACACTGCAGCGCTTCGCTGAGGCGGCCATGGCCAAGTTCCAGCAGGTGGGGTGGGACATGGCTTGGTTTAAAGAAGCGTCATGGGAGATATACGACCTATATGCCTATTATATAGAATGATGATGGGATTTATGGGATTTATAGCTTAATGTAAATGCGGATATGATGATGGGAATTATGAGAATTATGGGATTTATGGGATTTATGGGATTTGTAGGATTTTGTGGGATTTATTGCATTTATAACATTTTATAACTATTGAAATGGGATTTGTAACTATGGTGATTAAGAAGAATGGGATATCATATGATAGCTGATAACCAACAGAAATGGGGATATCATGGGATATAACTATTTTTTTTATGTCAACGCCAGATTTTTCTAAGCCTTAGTTGATTCACTAGGCTTGGAATTCGTTTGAACATGGAGATTTACCAGCCAAATCCATTGCTTCCAGCCAACAATTTCCTGTGAATGCATTGCAAATTGGTAGACATCTTCCTCACTTTCATAAAATGCAGATGGACATTTAAGTTTACGAAGTAACTTATGCATATTAATCTCCATGATAATTGAAGTAACTTTAACATGGTGTATCAATGCCTCAATTTTCACAGTTTCATTATCCATGCATATTATGGCAACTGGTCGAAGTAACGAGAAACTTCTCGCAGAAAAGTCATGGCAGCAATCGAAAGCCCATGTGCAATAGGACAATCAACTATAGTAATATGAAAAAGAATAACAATAATGACACCAATAATAGTAATAATCATAAACATATATACCATTTGGTTATTCATAATAGCTATGGAACTTCACCATTTCTTTGGTAGGCAATTCATCATAAATCATCTTTTTAATGGTCCATTTGCATGGCTATCTTAAATAACCAGAGGGTAAATTGATGTTTCAATAGGCCATTTCACATTGACATGTCTGATTACTTGCGTCAATATATTAAAAGTGACCCTCCAATGGATGGTCTTGGTCACTAGTGATGCCCATTTTTTGGGCCTTGGTTGGTACCCCAACGACAAGAGCTTGGATGGTCATCAATCCATTAGAGGATTCCCACTATGGGATGGCTTCATCACTTCCCAGCGTTGATGGAATCCCCTTTCCGGGCCCTGACCGGCCATGATTTCAGGTCCGACGCCGGGAGAAGCGTCGAAGCTTTGTGGACCTCAACAACCACTTCTTCCAGAGTCAGGACTGCGGGCCGGGCCGCTCCTAGAATTGGATGATGGGAACATTGATTGGGGATAACCTGATCTTATCCCCATTGATGACGGGAAAGCACTCTATTTGGGGTACCCTAAACCTGATTTCCTTTAGAAAAAAACCCTCAAATCAATCCCTGGGTCATATCATCCAGAAAAAAGATCTGGATCTATCTATACTCTAGACTTTCCAGTGGAGTGCCATCAATCTGCTGAAAGCCAGAATAGGAATTCGGAATGAATGAGATACACATTCCAGTTTTTTTTTTAAAATAATGATCTGGACTCCTTCCAGCTTCAACCCTCGAAAACTGGCCCGTTGTGGCCCGTTGTGGCCCACTGTCAGTTGAAGGACACCGATCCCAAAAACGCCATGGCGGCACCTGCGGCGTGGCCGGAGCTCTACTCCAGCAGCGAGCCTTGGGCGATGTCGGGGGAATTCATGGTGACTAGATAGTGACTCATATGATCATATGATATGTATGTATGTATGTATATATATATATATATGATATATACATATATATATATAACATGTAAATGGTTCATTCATGGTGATATATTAAGATTATTAAGGGTTCATTCATGGTGATATGTTTTCATAGTTCATGCATGGTGGCTCATATTTCAACGGTGATCAAATAGGGACAATGATCGAATGGTGACACATAGTGACTAATGTATATATTAATGATTCATGATTGAGTAATGGTGACTAACATCAATGGGCCCTCAAGAGCCGAGATTCTAACAGTCATCACTGGATACAGATATGAAGGTTCCCTAAGCCATGGGGGTACCCAAAATCATCCAGTCGTCATGGATGACCATGACTTAGTATTGAAACCGATGGTGACTTGGGGATCCCCCATGACTTTTGAAATTCCCAAACGGGGATAATGATCAACTGGTGATATATTTTCTAGTGACAATATTATATACCACAGTGAATTATATCATTATCATAGTGAATTATATAGTGTAGTGTGATAGCATAGTGAATAATATAAATTCTATAGTGATATTAGACTCTAAACTATAGTGGTTAAGAATTCGTGATTGGTATTCATGATATGAAATATGTTGACGAAAAATAGTTCACCACAATTTTCTATCTCCAATGAATTGACTATGTGATTGGCCACCTATACATATTATAGTGATTATCAACTATATCAGCAACATGATATTGACATCACGTTTTTTTATGACTGATTATTGACTACCTCGATATGACAATGTTCTTACTGAGTCTTACTGACAATTACTGTAACCTTGAGAATTGCAGTTGAAACTGTTGTTGCTATTGTCATTATAGTTTTAACTATAACTACGATTATGATGATCACTATGAACATCTGACTATTAGTATACATTGCTTGGTAATGCTTTGTACTGTTATGGTTCTTATTACAAGGGCAAGCAATCCTCCTACAAGGTCTATGACTGAAACACAAACACAGCCATTTTGACTAGGACCAGCGTCTACAAGACCCTTTTGGAGTTCCAGCAAATTTCTGACTTTGTAACACATCATAGTCTGCCCCGATGATAGGGATGATACTGTCACTGGTTCATGGTAAGTATCATCCCAATATCCCAATATCAACATTCAATCCCCAACTGATGAATTATACAGAAGCAAAGGATATGGGTCTTTTCGCTATGGGTGAAACTTCCAGGCAGTTTCGGAGAAGGACTGGTATCTTTTAGAATCAACCATCCAAATCTTGGGTGACAGGGGGACACCATCGTGTTGGCAATCTCTCTGGTGGTTGGCATTACGTCGCGGCCCAGGAGTACAAAGAATGGGCCACGGTCAGCCGAAAGATTTGCACCTCCTTTATCAACAAGCTGGGCGTTCCCTTGTCGGAGGCTGTCTCGGATTGCAATGGCCAGTTCACTGCTACTTCTCATGACCCAGGCAATCCCAACATTGTCACCACACTCATCTAGATATTCAGAACCGCTGAAACGATCCCCTACAACATTCAATGCTGGATATTTGGACTTCCAACTCTCCACAATTACTTCGGATTTCCCATCCAACGGACTCTGGTGACAACTCTCCAGACTTCCAGGCCATTTCAACCACCTTTGGACCTTTACAGGCCCCCTTTACTACAGGGGCCTGCCCCTGCGATCCGATCTCGATCTCCGTCGGATCTCCAGGAGGAGGCGAACAACATGGAACTGGTGACCTGGGCTGCGGTCTACCCCAAAAGCTCGGAGCCGGTGACGCACTACTACCACGCCCATCAGGAGGGATCGTGTCCCCTTGGAATGGGAAGAACAACATGCTGGGGCTGGAATGGACCCCCAGCTGGCATGGACCCCGCAAAAATCCGCTGGTGATTTTTTTCCATAGCATCTGATAAATGGATGAACATTAGGATCATTTCTAGATGATTTCTGATGATTTACCTGTTGAACATGCTGATTTTCCAGTTCAATGATTAAATTACCAGAGGACATTATAACTCTCACTTGCCCTGTGAACTCTTGACCATTTGGGTGTTTTGATTGCGGAGGGTTGCTGACGATTGTCGTTTCGGTCATTGTGCCTGAGAGTTAGATGCTCCTTTTACGAACGAAACCACATATTGGGAATTGCATGGACACGTTATAGGAGTCCATCGTGAGCGCCTTGGTCGCAGCTGCTTTGAATCGGCGACAGATTGGTATGTCTCCCGTAAGCCGTAAGACCAGAATGTCAAGACACATGGATCACGACATGATCTCCCTCCATAAAGGGCAAGCTGGGATTGGATCGCACACGAACAGATCCGCACCTTCTTCTTCTTCTTCTTTTTCTTCTTCTGCACTCTTTGATCGCTCACTTCCCAATCAAGCTCCGTGTCAGAGATGGGTGCACCCACCCGAATTTCAAATCGGTACAAAACCATGCAGATATTGTTGATAATATATATATATATAATTATATATACATAAAATATATATCCCAAGGTATACCTATATCCCAGGATATCCCTGTTGGTTGGCTTTATACTTTTTTACATCAACATTTTCTTAGGAATGAGTAGTATTCCATAGAGATATAGTAAGATATGGTGTTTATATATATATATATTCTTATATATAGAACACATATATATAATATATATATATATAACACTATGTCCCATGATATCCCCCACTCCCCGTAAGTTGGTTGGTGAAAAATACCGCTTGTGGGCTGCAAAGTTTGGTCAGGCTTTGTCTTGTACGTGAAGATGCCCGAGCCGACCACACCCTTGACCATTTCAGACCCACGAGGAGAAAACTTATCAAACACAGCCAGGCAATGTTGCGAAACAACGGATTTTGATACAATATCTTCATTCAAAAAGGGTTTTCAGCAAAAAATTGGGGATTTTGTTGGCACCACATTTTTTCTGAAGGTTTTAGCAGTCATCATTTGGGGATAGAACAAACAACACGTGGCTTTGGATCAGATTCTTGGGAGCCTGGCAAATGTATCGCCCTTTCCAAAGGATCTTGTCTTTCTTCCTCTTAATTTCGAGAGAAACTGATTTGGGGACGCTTCAGAACACAAGACTTTCCCTGGCACGGAATTTTTAGCAGGATGGGTTGCGGCCATTGGCAGGAGCTCCTCCAGTAGAAGACTTCGAATGGTTTCAGGTGCCCTGGAAGTTTGCGAGTTTTACCAAAAAGTCGAAGCTTCAGTTTCCGGTTTCCAACCGGCGCCAATGGCTGAAATACGTTTGCCAGCGATTTTTCTTGACTCAAACTGACTGGATTCTTGAAAAAACATACATTTCTGGTGCCAAGAGATTCAGCCTTTGCTCCGTTGTTGGACCTTGAGTGGGGCCTTAAACTCAATGTCTCCAGAGTTGTTAGGGAAATCAGGTAAACTTGTTCACCACCACCGAGTCAGGACTTGGGCGATTTGGGAGTGGATGCTGATCCTCCCTTCCACCGGCCCATGGAGTTCTATGCTGAGGTCCTGACCCTGATGTTGGATGCTGGGTAGTGGTCATATCAAGTTGATGGGGCATCTCTGTAGTTGCTGGTTGGATTGAACTTCAAATAGAGTTTCTGAATCTAACTGGTGTGAGAGTCACGTTTCGCTGGATGGAGTTTAATCTCAACCAAAAACTGACACCTGAGCCGGAGCCAGGAGGGAGACATTCTGATCTTCCCTTCCTTTGCCATCCACAAGGCCTTAAGATTTCGATTTCAAGTGTTTGCCCAAAAATGCCCAAAATCTGGGGTGCCTCTCCCTCTGAATACTGGTATCGTTGGCAACGCTTGACATGGAACTATACCCCTGCATAGATAAAGTAGCTAAAGTAGATGTACTGGCATCAGCTTTCGCCAGGTGCCGCCACACCTTGGTGAGAGCACCAGAGTGGTCTTTCCAACCAACTGCCATCTGCCGAAGAAGTTCCAGCGGCTGCAGGAGAGGTTTGAGGTGCGGGAAACGCCATGGAGTGGAGCACCGGGTACAACTGAGATTTCCAACTGATGGCCGGATAAATATCTGTCAAAGCCAGGGCATGCAGGCAACAACCACTGGAATTCTCGATGTTTTCTTGGCATGTGCACCAGATCGGAAATTGTCATCCATCCAAGTCTCAAGAGCCCAAACATATGGGGATGGGAACGAAAAGAAAGTCCCATCCCAAACATTTCAATACACCTTAAAGCCATAAATTAACCCATCTGCCTTCGAGATGTTTTCTCAGCATGGCCAGGGACAGGAATGCCCCCTGGATGGCTGGGAACGCATCGCGAGATGGCAGGTGACAGCGTGACAGCAGGGGAGAAGATGGCTGATCAATGTGGAGTTTATACATATACAGATACAGTACATACACATAGAGATGATATGTATGTATGAATATGTATGTATATATGACAATAATAATCCCCCCAAAAGATAGAAACAGAATTTATCACTATTTCAGTGGGATTTTTACATTTCTTTCTTTGGGATTACTATGCATCCACATAAACAGAGGCCCCAGTTTTGCCTTACCCTATATGATCGACGTTTGGGATACGTTCCCGTCATCTCACCGCCGTAGCTTTGACTCCACACACATGCCAAACATGTTGTGTGGGAGAGCATCATCTATCATTTTTGGCGGTTAAATACCTGGAATATCATGTTTTTGAAAGAAACACACGCATCACAACTCCAAAAAATGGGAACAACCTCGTCCCCAAGATACTACGGGTACCCTCCGTTCAAACGGTTCATCATCCATTGCCACGTTACCGGAGTAAGTGAACCAGCCCGACCTAGTCATCAGAGTCATCAGCGCCAGGCTCCGATGTTGCCCCGCCCCGGGGTCCTCCCGGTCTACGCGCAGCACGCGCAGGCGGTCTTGAAGACCGTGCAGCGCTTGGAGGAGACGAATGGAGGGGGTAAAAGAGGGGGACGATCATGCCTATGCAATATGTGGTACACAGAAATGATTGTAACAACTGCAAATCAATACAATATATATATAGTTTAATATAACTATCTGCATCTACATATAGTTTTATTTCTATATAGTCTATATACCCATGTGAACTTGCGGCACCGCAAGGCTTGATCAAATCAAAAGCAGCAGCTAACTGGCGGGGCATTTGGACCCTGGTGATTTGCTGCAGCTTTCAACAGCATTTCCCTGGCAGGACCCCTACATGAAGCTATGGGAGGCCGGGGTTTGCTTCGAGGATTTGGGATTTGGCCCATGGGATTGATTTTAAAGAATTCCACTCCACCAGAATCGTTTATCATTGAGGCCCAGCCTTGAGGAAGCTGCGTCTCATGTTTCGAATAAAGCCAAGTCTTTGTGGAACTTCATGCACATTAACTATCTGGTCATCAAGACTGCCAGTCCCAGAATTGATTTCAGGCAGGATTGCCAGAACCATCAAACTCTTCGGATGGGCGGAAATCCTCTCGGGTAATTAGTTGGATATGAACTTTTCCCAGAAAAACACGCCTTGCCGCCTTGCAATCAACCGGCAAAACCCAAGAAAGCCGAGATCACATTTGTTCCATCCCGGCGAAAAATTGGGGATCCTGATCCCAATCAATTGGGATTTGCATTTTTTGCTGGTTAATAATCCATATATATATATATAATTATATATATTTATAGAGGATATTTCATGTATAATCCATAGCAAAATTAGGGTCATTAATATTTGATGTATCACGTTAAATACATGTATATATATATATATATACATAACTCCATATATAAAGGTGCGGGGGAACGCCCGTCCACCCAGGTGCAAAATCAGGTCCTGGCTTTGTTGCAATTTGGCGCCAGCGATCCCTGGGCCTGGCTGGCAGCAGGACCGAGCCGGGGGGACCTTTTTGGAACCCAAAATCGCGAGTTGTGGTGGACAAAAAAATATATGTCATCATATATTGTTATATATAATGATATATATTTATAATATATATATAATATATATATAATATATATATAATATATATAATATATATATAATATATATATATAATATATATAATATATATATATAATCATTATATAGCTAGAATTTTTAATGGCACATAATTCTGTTGGGAAATCCCAACATGATGGGTTTAACCCCCCAAAATCTTGTTATTGTTGGTGGGGCCCCCACATGGCACTGTGACACATAGATTTGTTTTTTGGGCCAAGAACCTCACCAGGAAATGCTTCAGCCAGGGCTGCAGTGCTTTTGGACTCCAGAGGCGAAGGGAAGTGGCTTGGTGGCAGATGGGGCAGATGGTGAACCAGTCATGGGAAGCGATTTCCCCTCTGGTAAACGTTTACATAACTATGGAAAATCACAATTTTGGATGGGAAAAACCGGAAAAAACACTATTTCGACTGGGCCATGTTCAATAGCTATGTTTATTTACCAGAGGGTATATGGGATCAAAGTCAGTTACATACTTGGTTGGTGTATCCCATCACATGGGATAATCCCCATGGGCAAACAGGTTTTTTCGAGGTGGTTTGGAACCATCAACCAGACACAGTCTATGGGTCGCCTCTCACCTTGTTCCGTTGAGCCTTGGTGGTGCTGATTCTTGTAACTCAGGATGCTGCCAGTTGTGACTAGCAGAAGAAAAGCAGGACACCTTGCATCAAAAATTAAGAGGCAATCTTTATCACAAACACCAGCCTCAGGGCCGATTCAATCTTTTGGTTGACATCAGAAACTGAGTCACCGAGGGGGGTTTTTCTAACTTCAGGTATTACTTGGATGCTGCGCTGATGTTTGCTCGCGCACTGCGTCTTGATGCCAAGATCAAACCACAGCTGGATGAATGTGGCCTGGCTTGATGGGATCTGGATGGATCTGGATCGGGCTCTGATTGTTGGATCCCAGGCTTGGAACAGCTCATCCCCAAGAAGGTCAAGAAGCAGCAGAAGGCGCATGGCTTGGGAAAGTGATGGAAAGTGAATAGGAAATCCCCTAGAAATGGTGCTTTCCTTAATGGGAAACTCATTTAACCTTGGTGGATTTTCCATTGCCATGTTTCATTGCCGGAGGGTAACCATGGTGGTTTCCACTTTGCGTGTCTTTCCGTCCTTTTTGGATACGTCCAAGGGGGATTGGATCGCGAAAAGTCTTGCTTTGGAGGTGACACAGAAGAGCTTGGGCTCTGAATGGTGTTTGTTGGCTCAACCAATCCACACGCAACCAACACGAAACGAAGTTCTAGAACCAAACATGTTTGTTTTTGGAGGTATTGTGAAGTATTGTGAAGTATTGTGAAGCACGGTTTATTACTATTGACTTCTTCGTAGTCCAAGCATGGCCAGGATGCATACCGATCCTTGTCCTCCTGGAGGACCGACGGCACGCAGTTTGTTGGGTGGGCTGTCAGAGGAACAGCGTCCGACGGATGGATTGGTAGGGCCTGGTAGGGGACATCTACAACGAAACCATGGTGTTTCCCAGGAATTTGTTTGGGGGTTCAGGGTTCCTCAGATTTTCTGAAGCTCCCAACGATGGTAAACTGTAGTTTACTGACGATGTTTCATTATGATGATTCATGATGTCTTTCTCCATTTGTATTGATGGGCAAATGTCATTCAAAATCTCAGTTCGTTTTTACGCATACCGATATAGACGCATATATACCAGTTATATGATAACATATAAATCTATAAACTATAAACAACTGCATATATCATTTGCCACTCGAAGACACCATGATCTTCTGAATTCCTTGGCTAAAGGAAGCTCATTTTGTCCTGGGGTCCCTGGGCTGCAAGGTTGAGGTGTTTTTAAACAGGTGGATCCTGGACCTGTACATATGGAATATGGGTCAAAACCCCATGTTGCCAGAGTGATAGGTCTCATTACATCCCGGCATATTCAAATCATATCTCACTGTATCCACATCAAGTGGTTGCTTGAACACACTGAAATTGTATCCATGAAACAGCCATTTGATGTGAACAAAAGGGACGTCCACTAGATTTTTTGTTACACTGCCAGTCTCCTGTGCATCCCGAGGCACAGAGCCGCCTGAGTTGGAAGTCACGTGCCTGGGCAGATGGGTTGCGACTGTGGTGGTCTTAGTGGTGGCCAAGCCTTTGCAACCATTGGTTGCCACCATCCGACTTGGCCAAATCCAGACTCTTCACAAACAGTTTCTTTGGGTAGGAGTTTCCCAAATTTCTGTGGATCATCTTTCCATAGCTGCCATAGCTTTCTGATTTTGTGCGTATCGCCCCTTGTCAAACAGATCACAATGATTCACAATGAATATTCTTGGGCTCATGGCTTTAGTTTTTTCCAACTCTCCACATGTTTCCGGCGCACCCAAAAAAAAAACAATCCTCCATGGATCGGCGCCGATGGCGAGGCAGTTCCTGCACGAGGAGGTGAATGGCCCGAGTCTCTGCCGGAGGATGTGCCCCGCCAACTTGGAGTCCGCCTTCAGGAGCCCCGGAAGGGAAGGGATGTGCCATGTGGGAAGCCGCGAAGCCCAATCAACTTGGGAAAACACCTATGAAAAATGGTGATGTAATGGGATATGAATGGGGATAGGGGCTCCATTTTGGGGATGTTTAGGGATTTTGATTGGTTTGGGGTTTTGATTGGTTTTGACCTATACCACAATGATCATTGATGGGGCACCACCAATCAGAATAGGATTTGACCAGCATTAACTTGATGGTATCCCAAATTTCAAATAATTTCAAGAGGTCATGGGAGAAGCCACTCGGAGCTGGGATCGAACAGGGATTCCAGGGATTCCCTAGGAAAAAACCAAGGCTTCATGGCAATTGGGTGGACTTGACATTCGAGCAATTCTGAACTTTGACCCTGCGGCTCCCAGCCTACAGGACACTTCGCATTCTACCAGCTTGGTGGCCCAGTCAACGCATTTATGTCCCATTTGAGCCATGGCCAGAGCTCTCAAAAATTGGTGATTGGTACCCTCCGGTAATCAAACATGGCTAGCTGCGAAATCCAACTAAATGGATCTAAATGGAGGGTTATAGCTGTGGTGGAACGCCAACTTTGGGAGATTTCTGAGCCCTCAAAGGTTGGAGACCACCCAGCAAAAACAGCCATGTTTCAAGGCCTTCAGCACTCGAATCTACATCGTGGCGGCCCAAAGGACTGCACAACCTGGGGTTGATGGGGATTATATTCCCTGCTCCGCATGGGCCATGATACCCCTTCATGTTGAGGATCCAAGATTTTCATGAAGCTTTACTTCGCCAGTGTCAGGAACTAGCTCCACCTGTGACCCCCCAAGTGTGATTGAAAGATTTCAATAAGGTCGGCCTTCGCAAAGAAGCACGTGTTTAGGGATCCAAACTTCCAACCAAGAATCATGGCAGAGTATCCAGCCAACCACTGTGAAACTTGCAACTCGGCCAGGGACCCCTTGCAAGGGGCGCTGGCAGCTGCGCAGCGGATTTTGGAGGCAAAAACTGCTGGTTGAGATGGGAATCGCTTCATTTTTGCTAGGAAGTGTCCTGGTAGTGACCATCTCAAGTGGGGGTTTATTGGATTTACAAAGGGCTGGTTTATTGCCCCCTAAACTCCCTACTTCTGCTACATCTAATGACCCCTTTCTGGTCAACATCCTCATCTTGGTCGCTGAAATCCCCAGTTGTTGGTGAAATCCCCCTGTTAATATCAAGCCAAAAGGTATGTCGTAAATATCATCTATACCATGCTTCAAACACTTTTTGGCATCTTTTTCTTGGGTTCCAGCCTTTTCTGCTGGTTTCTGCTGGTTTCAATCGGTGCAATCACCAGTGGACTCCGGTCGATGGCACCCACAGGAGGACGCCCCTGGCATCGAAGTCAGCCTTGCCGAGGCCGTGATGATGATGCTGGCGGTGGCGGTGGTGGTAACGACTATTATTGTTATTGTTATGAGATGGAATTATATAGTAGTACCATCTTTTATTATGTATGACTACGCAGAAATTAGATGAAACTATCCACTGTCATGACGTCGACTTCAATGGGGTCCCAAATTTGGACACCCATTCTATCAATCCCGTGCAGTTTCAAAGCTGTTTTTGAAAAGCCCATGGGTTGAGCATGGTTGGGCCATGAGAAGAACTGCGGCATTTCGGACTTAGGAAAATCTAGAATCATTTGCCCCGATTTCACATTGGGTTTGTCCAAAAATAGGCGACATCCGGCATTTTTCATTGGGGACTATTTATTTCGATTGATAAATCATGGGCTTTTTGGGGTTCTCCGGCAACTTCAAACTTGCCTTCTCGAGGCCCCGGAGACGGACTCGACCTCCGACTGCTGGAAGGAGGTGCCGCCTGAGGCCTCCATGACAGCTGTGGGGATGCCCGAATCCATTTTGGCCCGGGAAAAGTGGTGCAGAACCAGAGGTATAATCCAATTTGTTGGGAAAAATCGGGTTGAACTAAGCCTGTAAACATGTAGAACATGTTTTTGGGGGGCGGACCCATTTTTTGTATCGCGTATATGTTGGCTAAGCTATATGACGTATGCCGGATCATGTCGGAGCAATCCCATTTGCTGGGATTTGGGTTTGTTCAGGTGGAGATCTTCCATAATTCATGGCATTTTGCATGGGAAATGAGGTTCTAAACCCAATCTTTTGACCAACACACTTGACAACCTGGGGCCCTGTGGTGAAAACTGGCAATCTCTGGGAATTTCAGCCCATCTTTCTGGATCAATTCGCGCACGTCGCAACAATTCAAGCCATTTCGTGTTTTTGAGGATTTTCCCAGAAACCGAAAGCTTCATATTTGTAGCCATGTTTCATCACCAGAATTATCACCAGAGGGTACCCACCATATCCCACCATGATCTCCTTAAAATATCCCCAATGAACCAAGCATTTCTCCAGTCCCGCTCCCTTTTCTTCGAAGGTCCTCTGTGATGCCGTGGGTGCCGTGCTGGTGGCTGATCCCCGGGGAAGATGGCCGAAGAATTGGCCTGGCAGCCAGGTGTGGAGAATCCTCTACAACTGGTGAGTTTTCCACATCCATGTTTGTTATTCTTAGTTTAAAGCAGGGTATGTAACGGTATGTATGGGTATGTGATATATGACTTATAGATATACTGATATGCTAACATATGGACCATATGCTGATTCATATTGTGATTCATATGAATATCTATCCATCTATCTATCTTAATCTTAATCTTAATCTTAATCTAAATCTAAATCTAAATCTAATCTATATAATCTAATCGAATCTATCTATCTACCTATTTATCCATACATACATACATACATACATACATACATACATACATACATACATACATACATACATACATACATACATACATATACATATACATATACATACATACATACATACATACATACATACATACATACATACACATGTATACATAAATAACGATTTCGATTTATGATGTATGATATATATATATATATGATATATATATATATATTTATACACTTATTGATAGGCTGTACAACAATTGAATTGTTCCAGACCATTTCGGGGTCATGATGTAAAGTCATCCCAATTTAGGGTATATGTATCTCAAATTTTGGGTATATCCCAATTTTGGGGTATATTTTGGAAAGTCGTCTTGCAACTATTTTCCGTAACTTCCGCAAACGAAAAGAAGTCGGTAAAATCCAAGTAAAATTGAGTGATAAAATCGTGATAAATCAGTGGTCAAACTGTGTCATTACTTTTCTATGTTTTTGTTCGGTTTTATCTGATCAAATCAGTGAGATTTTCATGGAACTTGGGCCAGGTCGGTGGCGCCGCAGAGCCCAAGGTGCGGTCTTTCACATCGAACGACATCGAACTGTTGGCTTAAAGTCGGCTATCTTGCTTGATGATCTGATGGTTGAAGTGATTTTGGTTAGCTGCTAGCTGTGAAAGGTGAACTATGACATATGATGTCCTATTGAAGACTGACCTTTTTGGCACAGTATCTAATCTAAGGCCAGTCATGTTTAGGGACATCACACCACCGCAACAACAACAACACCACCACAACAACAACAACACCAACAACACCACCACCACCACCACCAACAACAACAACAACAACAGCAACAGCAACAACAACAGCAACAGCAACAACAACAGCAACAGCAACAACAACAACAACAACAACACGAGGGACCTTCACAATCAAACATCAGGTGTACACCTGCTTCGAGCTACAAGAATTAGTTTATTTTTATATTATACATATATATATATATATACAACCTCTCTTTTTGAGTACCCAATAGTGATTTTCAAGCCTCCCCTCTTTTTGTTTGTAAAGTCGCCAGTTTTGCTCGACGGTGTGGGATTTTAAGGGCGTCTCTGAGGCGCCCTTTCACTGGCACCGAGAGATCCTCTGTGCCGAAGGCCAGTGAGGGAATTTCCGAAGCAGTTGGGTGGTGATCTAATCTAAATTCATATCAGTAGGTAGATAGCAGAAAAGGTACCATGTAGATTTGGGTGTGATCTCCATATCAGCAAACTTTCTCATGAAGCAGTTGGGTAGGTTTCGTACAAGTAATGAGTTTCATTCACGAACTTCAGCCATCAGTTTCGTTTGGAAGTTTGGATGCTTTGGACGGGACAGTCACTTTAGCCAGCAGGTGATGTCGTCTTGCTTCCTGCCTGGTTGCAGTACAAGGCCAGCAAGAGCTATGATACTTGGCAGCACTAAAATTCCTACAGCTGTGGCACAGCCCGAAGAGGATCTGGGAATGTCGCAGCTCTTGTGGCAGGCATTTTTGGTACTCCCCAATTATATATTTTACTCGAACGACCCCTGTTGCGAATCCCCAGTTAATAGTTTAATAATGTTTAATAATTTTTGATTGATTCAATTCCGTTAAACAAATTAATCAATGATTTTACATACACACACCATATCAGGTAGGTAATACAGCAAAGATGGTTGGTCAATCTTGGAATCAGAAAAAGACTCAAACAATGTCAGTATACTGATATGTACTCAAAAAGTTTGGAGTCACTGATTCGGTCACCCATTGGTTGGACAGTTCACCCATAAGTATCCATTATATTCCATTATCTCCCCTGTTTTGAAACGTGTATATATATATATAATAACCAATATTCCATCAATATGCCATGAATATCCCCATTCTATCCCCTTTGCATCCCCCACTCTACCATGATCCACCATCATTTTTGGCCCAATGGACCACCTTGAGGCCGTCACCGCCACCCTGCCGGGCCGACTTCCCTTGGCACGGCGCCTGCCCCGGCCACAGCAGGTTGGGGAATGGCCGCCGGCCCCGGGCGGCGCGTCGCAAGAGTTGTGAAAACGGGGCAGCACCGGGCCTGGGCTATCCATGGAGCTGAGTGGATTGAAACCATCCCTGGTTATTAAGTGAAATATAACAATTAGGTTATCAATGGATACCCACTAACCCGCTTAGGTGAAATATAACTATTTACTACTGGATGATAAATGTCCTGTAAGTATTAGTAGGATTTAATAGGGATATAGGGATGTAGCTGCTGGATATGAATGGGCTAAACCACTAACCAGGTGCCTAACTTCATACCCCTTTTTTGGCGGAGCTCTTGGCAGTTGAGCTTTCTTTGGCAGCAAAAAGTGGGATTTTAGGTTATATTTTACCATCACTCAACTGGCTAAACTTGGAAAGATTGTACCAGCCGAAATGGAGATTTTACCAGCAACACTTAGGATATCTGCAGCAAAACATGGGAACCAACATTTGGGATTCTAGCACGGGCGTCACGAGCATGTTGGCCATTAGCGTTGAATGATGATTATGTCGTGGGTGCAGAGGTCATTTGGCCCACAACCAGAAGTTGGTTGGTGTGATTTTTTCACCATCTTTGCCAGTTCAAGATCCGTCGTTCAGATCCAAATTGAGCCAAAGAAAAATTGAGCGATCGCCATTTGGCTCTGACGGATCTCAAACAAAATTGGGAAAGGACCTCAACAGAAGTGGGATTATGGTCCGAAAGAAACCGCTTTATTCATAACTATATAAAAGTGAGGGCAGATGGGATGAAACCACCATTACAACTCAAAGAACTCAACCCGGCGATTTTGGAAGGGCACACTTGGGTCACCCTGGTAGGAAGTTCCCTTCGTTCCAATGGGTTTCCGCCTTGTATCCCCACAGCCTGTAGTAGTGGGAGGCCGAGTTGCTGAAAGCTCGTGCACACCAAGCTGTCTTGGACTCTGTGGACAAGTGCGGGCAGCCGGTTGGGCGGCGGGTAGCCAGGGTGCCGTGTGGGCGTTTTCCAGGCGGTGAAGCAACAAGTGCTCTCGAACTCGACTTGCTTTTGCGGGGTTGAACCATAATGCCATATATTCTACAGGATGGTGCCCCCCAGTTATGTTTGTTGGTTTATAAACCCCATTAACATCATTAACTAGTTCGTTATATCTACCATAAACCATAGTGAAATGGATTTTGAGGTTTGAAACATTTCGAAACCATGGTTTGCTCTGGATCTTCCCTTGAATCAATAGGTAAATCCCTTGATCCCACGGCAGTGGCGTGCCGCTGTAGGTGGATCTTGGGCAATGAGAAGGGCTCGGTGAAAGCCGTCCGCGGCCCAGGTGCTACATCCAACTCACCTGGACCATGGTGACTAGGGATTTATGATTGAGGGATATGGGGATTTAATATGATTTAAATTGATTTAATGGGATCTAGTCTAGTTGATCAAGAATCATTTCTATTTGGCGTTTTCTAACCTTTGGAAACTTTTCAACCTCAAAAATGGGAGGACGGTCCCAACTGACGAGCATATTTTTCAGTGTGACCCCGATTCATGAGGAGATCCAAGAAATTGAACCAGAGGGTGATTCTGGGGTATTAAGAAAAGTTCAGGGCATAGTACATGGTTAGCAACCCCTCGATAAGCACTATCCCATATGTAAATGGGTTGCAACTATGGTTGGCCAGGGTTGCAACTATGGTTGCTGGCATTGCTGGCCAGTCAAGACTGGTGGCATGATCCGCCAAGCAGGGCAAAAAGGTTCGTTCGAGCCGTTGGGGACACCTGATAAAGTGCCTATCCAGGATCCAAATCATCCAATCTTTAGAATGGCGACCCGTCATTTGTAGGTTTTGGTGGAACGCCCCAGGGGTCCATTGGTCGTTTTTGCAGCGGTTCTCAATGGGTTGTGGGTGGCGAGGTGAACCAGTGTTCTTCAAGTTGTCATGAGGATTTAGAGTGTGCACTTCTGAGGATTTGGAATGTTTAGTCAGTTAGTGACACTTAGCGGTTAGGTTGCTGCTTTTGCAGTTCAGAGACCAAAAGTCAAAGTGATGAACTTCGTGAATTGTGAGATCAAAAGTCACCCTAATGGAGAACAGGAATCCGATGCATTTATTGGCGAAATAACGGCACCGAACGGAAGGAATTCATTGAACTCTCCCCACATGCTATAATTAGTCAACGAGAATCACACCCATATTGTCCATATTTAGTATGGGATAGATATACTCAGTGTTTTTTTGATACATTTGCCATACACTGCAGTGGCAATGACTGTCTATAGTTAGTATGAACATACACCTAATGACAGGGCCCTTAGAATGCCCTTAGATATACAGCATTGAAGTGTCATATCATCTCCATCAACCCTACTTGAGAGATGATGCAAAATAACTCCAACATGTGGGAAACAACACATCTGCCAAGTCCATAGATATCCACAATGTGGTCCCTCCCAGTTATATAGGTATCCAATCCGGGGTACCAGTTCTTCAATTTTCTGCGATTCCATGCGTCAATAAACCATCCATTTGGGATCGGGTAACCCCCAATTTCGGGAACCCCATGACCCGCCCATCCCATCCATTGCTACCCACGGAGCATCGACTTGCTAAGGCCTTCACGGCTTGGAACAGCTTCAGCAAGCAAAGCAAGTCCTCCGAGCGCGCGCGACAGGCGAGAACCCCCAACAGCTGGGATGGTTAACATGGAACATCTCCCCTCATGGATACCCCGATGACTTAGGAAACCTATGGAAACCTCCATGTGGTTAGTAAATGGGCTTAGTTCACCCAGTCATAAATGGGATCACCTACTGAAAAAAGGGGACTTTGAATGCTGAAATCACTCTGAAACTGGATGAAAAATCGGATTCACATGGATTAACACTGATGAAAGTGAAACTGATCATGTTCCTGATAGATGTATGGTGGATTTTGTACGTCTTTGTACTTTTTTTCTCCGGCTTCGCTTCAGATTTGGATTGAGATCTGCCTCAGGCGGTGCATGCCTCGTTGCGCCAAGCGTTGTTGGGGAAGGACAAGGTGGGGCGGGCGCTGCTTGTAGTTGGCTTCCAAGCATCATCATTGCTACGATTGTGGTTATACGGTTATACTAAAGAAATACAATACTATGACTTGGTGATACTTATTTTGTAGTACTAAATTATATACTATGATTGTGGCGATATTTCGTTATTACGACTTGACTAGACTAAATCATACTACTTACTATTACGTATATGATATACTTAAGAAAAAGAAAACAATCATGCTACGAAGTAGTGATTCTTGAAGTGTGATACTGTGCCCGGATGAAAACCTCCAAAATCCCACGGTGGGCCCTGTATCCTCAGGCTGCCGTGGTGAATGCTTTCAAGAATTGGTTGTCGCTCACGAAGAGCCCGCTACCTATGGCTCTGGGTGGGGCTAGGTTCCTCAACAATCCCCAACACTGGGCTATGGTTCAAGATTATGAAGCCCTATGAAGCCCTATGAAGCCCTATGAAGCCCTATGAAGCCCAACGGCTCAAACATGGAGGGCTGATGACTAGCCATGGGTTTGTTATGGTTTGTTGATACCCTGCCAAAATCTTCCAAGCCAAATTGAGAAGCCTAAGGCGAGAAGGCAGAGCGCGACCGCGAGCAGATCCTGGCGGATCAGAAGAAGCACTGGGAGGCACGGCAGGGCGCTTCCGCGGTGGAGAGGGCGCGGTGGTTTCGAAGTGGTTTCGGGGGTGGAAAAATGGGGTGGTGGATTTCAGCTGATGAGTACTTGGGATGAGCTTCAACGGCATTTTTGCAGAAAAACCCGATGAAACCATGAATATCGTGAAGCTTCATTTTTTGGATGGTAACATGTCGTAATCTGATCTCCCACGATCTCCCCATTGTTTCGTTTTTTGTCTTCATCGATCGTTGATTTGATTAGACTGCCCGGTTGGGAGCTGATGGCTACCGAGAAGCACCCCTTTGAGCTCACTCCACGGTTTTCCCGAATGATTTCAGGCCGACCAACAGAAAGAAGGACTAAATCCATCCCCAAACACAGAATGGGTACTGGCGCCACTTTCCAAACTCAGTTCCTTGCTGGTCAGGAACCATAGTCACCCACAGTCATAACCCAGTTCCAAAATGAAACCGGGACTTCCCATGGATGAACCAAACTCAGCGATAGGAAGAGACCGACCGACTGCGAAACCAATTCGACAAGGACCAGTGAGGGATAGGTCAAAAAAGACAGGGATACAAACACTGGTTGGTGGTTTGGAACATGACTTTTATGACTTTCCCATCATATTGGGAATGTCATGAATGTCATCATCCCAACTGACTTTCACTCCATCATTTTTCAGAGGGGTAGGGCTCAACCACCAACCAGGATATCACCTGTTATAGGATGGTCGCCCAAATGCTGTAGGCACTTTCCGTCGACCCAATCGAAGGATTTGGCGCCGCCCATCGCTCACAGAGTTTTCCATGTTTTTTTGATGTTTTTTGCCGCCTTGAATCGAGCGTATGTTTGGCATGGTCTTTGGGAGTCAAAATTCATGCTTTATAAAGCTTATCATGTTCCCTACTCAAATATTTCAAATTGCAATATTGGGTATACCATCGCCTATACCCTCCAAGTACGCAACATTTTTTTAAAATAAGAGTACTAAGGTTATGGAGTAAAACACAATTTTTATGGGTACCTGGAGGGTCAGGCGTATATCATGTTTACCCATTTCCCAACTCGCAAAACACTCGACACTTCCACATGCCACGCAGGAGATGCGCGGCACCATGACGGAGCATGAGAAACTGAAGGCGCAGGCTCAAGCGCAGTCCCTTGGCAGGGCGTATTGGATTTGGGGATGACTGGAGTCACCAAAATTTGTTTTGCATTACGGAAATGGGATGGCTGATACAAGAAACACATATGTACAGAATCAGTGAGTCCATATGTGGGTTTTAAACGAAGCGGGCCTTGAATTCTTGACCTGCACGCATTTGGAAGTCTGAACTCTTTTTGTTTTCTACGTGGAAAGAATCAATGGGGTTGATGGTTGAACAAGTGTTACTTGGATGGACGTCGGCGACATTTCGGGTATATCTTGGGGTGATGCACAAGATGGGTTTGATTTCGCTTGCAAAACCACAGGTTGAAGGGTCGAATGGATCAACCTATAGTTGATTTCGGTTGGAAAACACCTTGGTTCATCGAATATTGGGTCACACGGATTGATCTTGGGGAAAAACCAAGGGAAACACCCCAAGATTTCCATAGATTTCCATAGATTTCCATAGATTTCCATATTTTTCGTCATGTGCTCTGATGGCTCTGATGGCTCTACTCTCTGCCCTTTCATTCTATCCCCTGCCAGCGACCCCTCAGGACCGAATTGGTTCTCAGGAGGTGGCTCAGCACCTTGGAGGATTTTTCGCTTCGACGAATCCTGCGATGAATCCAGAACTGGTTTGATGCAGTTGGGGGGGTAGTCCAACAACATATATAGGGAAATTACTTGACATTACCCTTAAAAAAAAAAATCAAAGGTTGGGATGAGTTAACCAAAGTCAACCACTCAACTTTTTTATTGATTGGCTGATGAGGCTAATGATCCGAAGAATAAGTAGGGATTGAACTGATTGGTTGCCCCCCCAATCAGCCTAATAATTGGTATATGATAGGATTTCAACCAAGAAAAATATTGGAGATAATGTGGCAAACCCAACGCTATAAACCATCCCTGATTATTGATTGTGAAATTGGGTTCAGTTTACTAAAGTGGGATGCGCTTTATCATCATCCCCAGTCAGGATTGGCTGGGTTTAAGCCACAGAAAATGGCTGGTCCAGCTTGTCCAGCTGGTTGCCAACTCTATGGGTACACCATGGTGTGACAGTATAACCCAGTCATGAACCTCGAGAGGTAGGGGGACACCAACCATTTCTGAATGGTTGATGTAGCCGAGGAGATCCAACATGCTTTGGTTGTGGGATTCTCTTAGCTCCCAATGACATGTTTCAACATGCAGCATCTTGACCCCAGCCAAGAATCATGGCCAGTCATTCTTTCACCAAAGAGTAAAACGAACTCATGCAAATGCAAACATCTCAGCAACATCCAGCAACTATCCTTCCTGTTTGTAAGCGCCCACAGAGATTCCAAGTCAGTCAGCGAGTCGCTCAGGGTATTCATTTCCACGGCTGGGATCAGCTAAGCCATGTGCCAAATCCCATCAGATTTGCTTGCCTTCACATAAATTGCATATTCTTGCTTGTGGCTTCATCGCGGGGATCGGGGGTTGCATTGCTCGCGTGCTCCAATGATAAAGTCCATCTGGGAACAAACAACTACTGCTTGGGAATGGGTGATCGAAATTCCAGCCCAGATCCACATTGGTGGATTTTACTGCAGAACTGTCCCAAAAAACCACAGATCCGTACAGCCCAAAACCAGGTGCAGTCTCACCAGCACCCTGTAACAGGGCTGATAGCCTGATAGCTCCAGATTCTTTTGTTTACACTTTTGTTTACAGATTTTACAGGAGTATTGCGGCAAAAGGAATGGCCAGATCTCGTGAAAATTGGAGGCTTATAGGCTTGGAAATTCTTCATTCTTGCCGCATAGTCGGGTGATTTGATCAATCCATTGAGACCTGACAGAGCTACACCGAGGCATGAACGAGTTGGACATCTCTGAGCACTTCGTGATGTGGCGCCGCTACACGGCCTTGGGCCTTGGTCCAGAGTTAAAAATCATTCCAAATGACAATTTTGATAGGGAAACTATGGGAAACTGATGACAGACTTTTTTCTGGGTCAACCTTGGGTTAGATAACTAACATGTACGAACATGTGCTAACCAGCTAGAAATTAGTTTTTTTTTTTTTTTATAGGTATAATATGGTATATGTTTTACCAAGTATAGTGGATTTGATTATACTTGATGTTCGGACAGACCCTGTTGTCATGAAGAGATCCAGCAAATGTTAGCAGTTTCCAAAAAGAAGAGAGTGATTTTGTCGGTCAAAAACTTGAGGACCCTGAAATTCATCATTTCATGGTTTGTGGTAGCAGGGAAGACCAGCTTCTTTATGAGTTTTTAGACACAGTAAATGTATAGTATATAATATATAGTATAATATATATATATAATATAATATAATATAATATACTATAATATAATATAATATAATACAATATAATATAATATAATACAATATAATATAATACAATATAATATAATATAATATAATATAATATAATATATATATATAAATAATATAATATATATAAATAAATAATTATAATATATTATATATATAATTATAATATATATATATTATAATATCTTGAGTTCCGAGTTCCTCCCAGCGTTAACATTTTGGATCCAGGGCAATTGGTCGATTTTGGCCATTGACCCCTGAACACTGACCCCCCAAAATCAAGCAAAAAATACCAAAAATCAAACATGGCAATGGAGAAAACAAACTTTGAAACATATAGATTTATGATAAACCTCCATTTAAGCCATGTGGTTTCCATTTTTTGTTCCCATCTTTGCCCAGATTTTCCCATGATTTTCCCCTCAATTCCTTGCCCATTGCCGAGGCCGCCACGAAGGATTCCAGCAGGAAGCGCAACGCGGTGAAGGACGGACGGGGTATTTTTTTTTGCCGAAAAAAGCCAAAACTACACTATGATTACTATGAAAAAATATGGGACATGTTAATGCACTCTTAATCCACAGTCTCGCTAATTATGGTTTTTCCGATAAGCCATGGTGGGATTATGGGAAATCCTCTGTTGTTTTTTTGATGGGACATGTTTTCTTTTCCAAATCCTCTGGTATGATGTTCACAGAAATCCTCCTATTCGAGCTTCTGATACCCAAGTTAGTTATCGAGCTGACATTTCCAATGTTGACCGGAAAGAGACCATCCTCCGGCGGGTCCGGTGCCCGGGGGTGCCCGGCGGGGCCTATGGGGCCTAGTCCCCCACCAGAGTCAATTCACAAATGGGAAGAGTGGTGGAAGATTGACCATGATCATGATTTTGAAGAATCTGTTGAAATGTATGAAAATTCCCCTAATCATCATTAGAACATGTTCGCCCCAACCCGGACGTTGCTCCACACTTACAATCGTCATGACCATCATCATGACCATCATCATCATCATCATCATCACCACCATCATCATCACATCATCACATCGTCACATTATCACATCATGATCATCATCACATTCAAATTCGCCACCCCCTCTGAACAATATGTTGATTGGGGTAATAAAATCAACTTTATCTTCATGAGGGATCACAATTCGCCACCCGCTATGAACAATATGTTGATTGGGTTAATAACATCAACTTTATCTTCATAGCCACCTGAAGTCAGACGCGGCGCAACGTCAGGGTTGCAAGCGAACATGTTTAGAACTTGACTGGAACATGTTTTGCATCCCCTGAATCTTTCGCATCTCCATTTTCATGGAAAATTGCCAGGTCAGGGCACGGTTTAGTAATTCAACAGACAATTCGACAGGCATATATTCTTCAGCCTGAATATGTTTTTTTTTTCCTGGGTGAACGATGCATTTTGGTACTTTGTGGTACTGTGATCTTTGCTATCAATGGGAAGATGTACTAAGCAGCCAAACAGATTTTTTGTTGCAGGGATATGAATATGTCCAGTTCATGCTGACCGTAGCCTGTATCAACCACACGTCCATTGACAAGGACTTGACGTCAAATCAACCACTTGTTTGCTTGGCAAATGTCAATATCAACATTGAGACTTTGATGAATATCATCCCGGATTCCCCCATTTTTTGGGACGCACAGAATGCAGCCAGCATTTGTTGTCCCCTTTTGACCATACCTATACCTATATATATATATCTACATATATATATATATATCTACATATATATATATATATCTATATATCTATATATACAGCATATGTAAATCATCCATCAGTTCCGGGATGGACATCTATATTAATAGTGTCTGATGGGGCAAGATCAGGATCATGCCGAAATTCCATAGGCTGGTGGATGGATAATGACGGATATGTGTTTTTTGCGACAAGTGGAGGAAGATGATGGAAAAGGATATCATTCTGCTAGAAAAGGTCATCTTGATGTGGACATCTATACTTGAGTTACTCAAGTTGGTCATACCCACTGGATATCCTATGACTTTGCAGGTTGTCTAGGGGCCGCCGAAAATCCGCCCCAATGCGCAGGACGCCATGTCCCGCTTCTTGGAGGGCGAACGCAGGGGCGTGATGCACTCCACCTTCACGGGCTGGAAGACGCATGCTTCCTGGCTGAAAAAGACAACAAGGCACCGGTAAGCCTGGTTTTTGATAATCATTGGTCCCTGATTCCTGGATGATCTCACGAATCGTAAGTGGTTTGATCGCTGGGGCACCACATGAAAAACGGCGTGGGATCCTCCAGGTAGCTCCATGCGAGGTGGTTTTTTCTGGGGGATCCAGCGAAGTCAGCCGAGGTGGCGCAAGCTGCAAAGGACAATTCGCAGATCAGGAAGTGTGGAGGCTCAGCAAAGCTTAGTTTTCATGCTGGGTTTATGGGTGATTTTCGCCATAGGAGGATTTTTGAAAAATAGGGCATCAAGATGATATGGAGCGAATTGACTTTGCTATGGTGACTCCCTCATAGTGGCCCAAAACTATGTGACTTTTGACATCTTTTGACTATGAGGGAGTGGACCCCATTAAGTGGGTCAATGGGGAAAAATGGTCCTAGTTATACCCTTGGGCCATCCCGGAGGCCTGCAAACTCTGACCCCCAGGATAAATTGGGTATGTCCAAAAGATCCCAAGGTTGGTGGGGTTTCCCTTTTTCATGGACCCATGGCGGAGCAAAACAACATCACGACATCTTGAGGTTGGAGGAGCAGGTGGAAAGATTGCCGCTCATCTGCAATGAGGAACTTAGGGATGAACTGTTTATGATGGAAATATATGTAGAAGCTGATGAACAACAACTGCATTCTCAGGTAACATTGGCAAAGTGTAGAGTCAGTGATGAGACATGTTTTTCAAGCGTGGTTCAGTTTTGGGTCAAACTCTGAATGATAGGCAAAACTGTTACGATCGTTTAAGATCATTGCGATGGACCATTGGGTATCCAATCCCTGTTACACCAGGGCCCTTCCGGGGAGCTCTGTGGCCATCTCGAGACAGTTTCGGCCCATGGTTGAAACCATCGGATGTCGATTCTGCAGGGATGGTAGACCGAGCTATATCGTGGATCCAAATTGTTTTCAGGCCATTGTTCAGAGGTGGGAGGCGGTTGTGCAAGTATAGCAATCCTAAAAAGATAGATTTCAGGAAAATCCTATCCTAAAATAAGCCCTTACCCTTAATATCAAATACCCTGAATATGGGACCCAATATTTAGATTATATTTCTACCTGTTTGAGTAATTTTCGGGGATTACCATGCAATACATGGGTCTATCCCCCCCCCCCGGAGCAGCAGTTGCACAAAGGCTGCGGAAGCAGGAACAATCTGTGCAGAAGCTGGGGAGCCTGATGGAGCCTGGAAACTTCACTGGTTGAATCAAATCTGGTAAGTCCTGGACCAGTCCTGGAATTCCTTTTTTTAAATTAATATTTTGGTTGAAATTCGCGAGTCTCAGTGGCATGGAGACCATGGGTCACCCAGCCAGGATGGCAGCTCAGGTATGGCACTTTCCTTGCCAGCAAGTCGGGTCCTGCCATGAAGGGCTTGGTTGGGGGCCCTCAGTCGTAGCCGAATTGTCACCACCAAATAGATAAATAGGGAGCTACCAATTTAGCCCCAAGAATTACGTGGTTCACCAGGACTTGATATGATTTTGGAATACTTCGGATGACTGTTTGAGGGTAATCACTGTTGAAGCTCAAATGGGTCTGTTCATTCATGAAAGGTGAGACAGTTGGGCGATTCTTCAGACACCCTGGTAGTGTTTTTGGCAAAAAGGTGCGGGATCAACCTCTGAAAGGTACAGTAACTACTTCAAAAATCATGCCACTTCCTTTCCCACTTGCCACCGCTTGGCCTAGTAGAACGGGGCAGGGCAGAGCATATTATCGGTCCCCCAGTTCAAGTTGACCAGTCCTGGGGATCGGCAGCAGATCATCTCACCAGGATTGCTGCAGACATCACCAGATGGTGGATTCGGGAATTCCATCAGCATCAAACCAAACAAGATCAAACAAGATTGGTACCCCAAGAGGACTTTCCCAGACCTGTTGGACCAATAACGTGGCTACAAGGT